GTGGTAGTGAGTAGCCTGATGCGATGCTTCTCAATGTAGCGACTAATACACGCGCACTTGTTTCCATTCTCTTTGTCGCTTATTCGCAAAACGTATGCCCACACTTACTACGGTGTCACATTTAGAAGCTAAGTGTGGAGTCGCGCTTGGGTAGTTACATTCGCATGGCCTGAAAAGGTGAATGAAAAAGAAATTTTTTTAATTGAGCTGCGTGATCCATTTACCTCTGTGAGCTGCATAAAGAAGTGGTGTATATAATTGTGAATCCAGAGCATTTGCATTGGCATTATTTTCAAGAAGAGTACGGACTATATTGTCATAGCCTGGAAAAAAAGTGGAAAAATGCTAATCGAAACGTTCAATGTGTAAAATGTGTGAACCATTTACCTCTAATTGCTGCGAAATGAAGTGGTGTCCATTTCCACATGTCTTCAGCATCTACTTTTGCACCATTTTCAATAAGAACACGAACTATCTTGTTCTGGTCTGAAAAAATGATGAGAGAAATTCCAATGAAAAAGGCCAACTGTCATGGAGATGTGTAAACGATTTACCATGAATTGCTGCGAAATGAAGTGGTGTGGTATTTAGGCCGTCTTGAGCTTTAATATTAACAGTAACACCTTCGACGATAAGTTTTTGAATGCCAGTTAAGTTGCCTAAATAAACCAAATGGAACGAAATGGATTTCATTTTAATTGTTAAAATACCGCTTGAAATTGACGAGATTTTCCGTAGCTCACTATTTTTGGAGTATTCTATCAATAAATCCTCCTTGTCACTGAGTGCTGTAATGAGACCGATATGTTAGACTAAATTTAGAGGTTATCAACAAAGTTATTTAAAATTCACCGTGAACACTTCTATCAACGACACAAGCCACAACTAGGAGAATGACTGCAAATATACGTGTTACAACGAATCATTCAAATGGAAGTTTGCTTACGATCGATCTTCATTTGAATCCTTGATAATCGCAATAAAGGTAGAAACAGAAAATGTCATTTTAATTGTAAATCAAGCATCAGTTTTAATTTAAAATGATCAAAAAATTAGAAAAACAAATTAAATTGAAGTGAATGTTAAATGATAACGCCTTATCTGAAGCTAAAACTTTAGTTATAACGATTTGACTTTCGCATTTGATTTTTCAAAACTCCCGCCCAAATTGCAATGAACGTTTGATCGTTTCAATTGGATAATATGACATACGAAATACGCATTCCGGTTTTGACAGATAGTATAGCACGATTAAAATGCATACATGCATACCAGTACTTGTAAAAATACCGTATCTCGATTACGAAACCTAAATGAAACGAAATAGTATTTAAAAAGCACCTCGATTTTATTGCGCATCATTTTGCTTTGTTCTTTGTTAAACGAGTGAATATTCCAGAGCTACAATTTTATTCTATAAAAATGGGTATTCCAGGAATGAAAACCTTTCTATCTGAGAATCAGGCCATCGCTCCAATAAATGTGTCGGAGGTGTTGGAACAATATAAACGGTAATTGAACAAATTATTGACTTAAATATTCGAAGTAATGAATTTCACTTTGTGACGAAATTCACTGATAATAAATATTCACTAATTTTACAGCAACAATCCCAACAAGAAGCCATTGATTGTAATTGACTTTCCTAACTTTTGTAATGGCATTTTAAAAAGATTTAGTGAGTTTATTTACGGTGGTCGGCATTTTCAAATGCAACAATACTTTGAATTGATTATGGAAAAGTTTTTGGGCTGTGATTTGGTTTTCTTCACCGATTGCAATATACAAGACGGTAAAAGGGCCGAGTGGCTAAATCGCCGAAACCAAGACTTTGGAAGATACCAAAATCTATATAGGAGCATTGAAGAATCTATTACTTCAAATGCACTTATGGGAATCGTTCCCGATATGACCTTGAGGTCAGTGTGTTTTGAAATCGAGCGGTTGGCACCAAAATTCGGGCAATTTTACTACTCATACAAACGTGAATGTGATGTTGAAATAGCTCGCTATGCTATGGAAAACAATGCCTTGGCTGTCATATCAAGTGACACCGACTTTGTCATATTCCCTGGACAATGGAAGCTTTGGGCAGGCGAATTTTCCTTGGACAATTCAGGCTCAATAATAACAACTGAATACAACCGAAATGCCCTCACCAATCTTCTTTCACTCTCTCATGATCAATTGCCATTATTTGCCACATTGTTGGGGAATGATTTCACAAAGAGATTCTCTAGACAGCTAGTAAGGAAGTTTGGTTACGGTTTGGAATCCAAGATCAATGTTTCGAACTACGTTCGCAATTTGAACAGTGCTTTCTTTTCCGACCTTGACCTTGTGCGCATTACTCAAGATATCTTTGGCTACACAAATCGCGAACTTCAACAGATATTTAGACAAAGCCTTGATTTTTATGACATCGATTCTCCGATGCATATATGGATTGATGCAAATAGTTTATATCCATTCGCCGATCAACTGTCTGGTACAGCAATTTATCCAACATACTTGATGATCATGAGTAAGGTTCAATGCATTAGCATGGGCTATTATGATATGCTTCAAGGAGGACGCGGTAACAGAAATCTGCCCAGGGTTCTTATCGAATGGATGAAACGTAAAAAAGGAGTTTTGCACAATGATGATGCTACATATACTTTCTACATTTTGGCTAAGACGGATTATAATCGAGACTTTCAGGAATATCGTGAAAGACCAGTCTATCCACCAAGTAGGTGTAGTTCAATGCAATAAATTAATCTATTTTCTTCCTATTTTCAGGTTCGTCCACAGTTCTCCTTGGCCAAACGAACCCATGGAAATTAAAAAGCTCACGGATTAAGGGTTCTCCATGACCAAAAGCAGAAACATACCGTAAACGAATAAATGAGCTTTTTTGATAGTTTTTTGTTTACGATGTTACGGATTTCTCAGTTATCCCTGGCAAAAAACCTCAGAAATAAGTACAGTACTGCATTTCTTGTAGTGCTAAGAAGCTTCTCCTTGACTATACAAGCCTGGAAAGGCATAATGAGCTCGGGTCAAGTAAATAGAGGTAATCATGGCCTAAAAACTATAATAACGAGCTCTCAGATCAGATCAATAATAGGCTATAAACCCGAGAACGTCAAAATCGATTGTTCTTGAGAAGCTTGGTTACAAGGTTATCCCTGCCTAAACGAACTGGACGTGGTGAACATATACCGGTGTTGACGATTCTTAAGCACTTAGAGATCTTAAAATGCTAACCATATTGTTCGAATTTTAGTTATAATTCCTCCTTTGGATCGTTTGTATCTTGGAAGGGGAAATGACAGTGATCCGGAATTAGATTCGATCCGATTTCAAATCTTAGGATGGATCATGTCACTTCCTGAAGAGATCATATCGAGAATCAGAGAGTATGGCAACGTTTGGCAACGGATGAAAACCATTACTCTATATGCATTGGTCAAGGTATTATCCAAATTTTTTTTTTTTTTTTTTTTGAGAAATTTATTCAATTCAAAAAATATTTGCGCTCAAATAGGTAGGATTGATCAGTGTTGAACAAGCGGATTCCATTTTCTACACCGAAAAGAGAGCACATGACAGGAACATCCGAAATGTGGTTAGACCGACGAACCTCTTGCGTGAAAACATTCGTGCTGCTCACATTTATAACATCGCTTTTTCACATGTTCGACAAAATTTTGCAATCGCTGGACTTTTATCTGAACATTTCCTACAGGTTCGCAAAAGCGGTTTTTTTCTATAATAGTATGTTGTTTTTATATGTGGCTATTTAAAATATTAATTTGTTTATGATATGACAGAATCCAGACTTTGATGTAACCGAGACAGTTTTACTGTTTGATGGAGTTTATTTTCATTGGTTAATAGAACAAATTGATGGAATGATGCCACAGAAATATCAGGATTTCCTCGTACCCATTAGAGAATTTCGGATCTATGCAGAACTCCAGAATTGAATAATCTTCATAGCATAACAGAAACAATGAAATATCTTTTGTTCTAAATTCTGATTTTACTGTTTTTTTTTTCTTTGGTAAAATCACTAATCAAATTTAAAACTATCTTTATTAATATGTGGGTTTTAAAAATGGAATTACTGAAAATGTATCATCATATTTTATTCAAAAATCTAGAATCCATATTTCGAAAAGTTTTTCCAAAATTATGAAAACCTTTATGAATTTTGATTTATGCATGCTGTCATGTTTTGTCAAAGTTTTTCATCATTTGGATAAAAAAAATCGATATATGGACGGACTCTCATATGATATTACACAAGTAAATGGTTTGCAATTTATATTGGGTGGTGGAATTCTTTTAAAATCATATGGGTTATCAATGAATTATACGAAAATATGTTTTGTTTGTTCTTCTTCAAATTCAAATAAAGAATGTACTTTATCTCTAAAATCTTGTGTTAATTTAATCAAATCAAAAAACTTCTCCAAATGAATTTCGAACAAATAAATGTGGATTTTTTCTTATACCTCTGTGTAGTTTATCTACTTTTTTATCTTTTGCAACACATACAATTAAAATCGCACGTAAAAATGATGAAAACGACATCGAAAATGACAATTAAAAAAAACGATTGAAGAGCTTCATATAAAAACATTCAGTATTTTATGAATATTTATCATTTTTCGTGGCTTTTCTTATCCGCTCGTAAGTCTGGTGAAAAGGGTGGATTTCCTCGTTCCCTTAGAGAATATCGGATTCATGCAGACAACCAGAATTGAATAATCTTCATAACATGAATAAAACAAAAAAAAATACCTTTGTACCAAATTCTGATGTTGTTATTTGGTGAAATCACTAATTCAAAATAAAAATCATTAATTTCTTAATTGTATAGTATTATCGTACAATGCATTAATTCATATTGACATTTACATAAGTAAATGGTTGAGTGTGTATAGCCGGTATTCTATAAGAAGTTTCTGTAGAAACCGTACATTCGGTTACACATTGGCATAACATCTGGTTGTTCATTTGTACACATTAACCATATAATTCGTAGAGAAAGCATGTGTCGAAAAATTCACGTCGTTGTATCGATATATAGGTATGTGTAAGTCACATACCGAATACTAACATCTCATTTGATTGTGTAAGATTCTTGTATGAATTTTCTTTTGTAAAACTTCCGACAACGCTTCTATGCACAAAATATATACCGAATCAGTCTATACTTGACTTCTCGCTTGAAGTGATCAACATTCGTTTTAATTTTTCTCCGTTAAAATGTCTAGACTGGCAAATTTAAGGTTCCATAGTGGCGAGGCATATAAATCTTTTGAAATTTCGTTTTCAAAGTTATATCTTGATGCGAAATTATCTGACGTCAGTTTTAAATTCAATAATGGTGCAAAAATGATACCAGGTCATAAGGATATTTTAGCTATAGTAAGTCCAGAATTTAAAAAAATGTTTTCTGGGCCAAAGGAACCACAAGTTATTGAAATGTCCGATATTAGTTGGAATGGTTTTGAAAAGCGTTTACAATTTTTGTATTCAACAAATGTTGCACTTACAATGAAGAATATTAGTGAAGTTACACGTCTAACATATAAATACCAAGTATCCGATTGCTGTAATACGTGCGTTGAGTTCCTGCTGGCTAATCATCTAGAAAACGATATTATTTGGATGTACCAATTGGCTCTCGATATCAATAACGATGATTTAAAAAATTATTGTGAAAAGTTCATCAGCCAAAATTCAAAGAAGTTATTCGAATCCGATGAGTTTCAAAGTTGCGATCAAAATATGTTGAAACGTATTCTACAAATGGATATGTTATCATGCCCAGAGATTGATGTATTTCATGCATGTTTAACATGGGCAAAATGTGCTTGCAAACGAAATGAATCGGAAAATGTAAAACAACAACTGGGCGATTGTTTCAATTTGATCCGTTTTGGTACGATGGATACGAATGAATTTATTATTCACACTTTGCCATACAAAGACCTATTCACGCGAGAAGAATACGAAGACATTTTGTATAAAACGTCGGTAAAATTTAATCATACACCGAGATTAAATCCGTATTTGTGTGGTACAAAACCGAAGAATACATTTTACTATCCATGTGAGCGTTTCGACTCTCATATCAAGCACAATACTGAACCGTATCAGATTTCTCCCACAGAATCTGTATGGTTCTCAACGGACGCACCAATTTTGTTGCATTCAATTGAGTTCGCACCGATTTATCAAAGAGACTACCGCGCGAGAAAAACCAAAGCGGAATGTGAATTTAATGTGAAATTCATCGAAACAATTGCAAATGCATTCAAAATGCGAGGAGAAGAGAAAATTCTATATGAAGGACGCATAACGCTGTTTTCATCGCATAGTAACCTGAAATTTCCGCAAGAGCTTTTCATTCAACCCAACATGATATATGAAATTCGCCTGGAACTCATTAGGTATGGTCACTATTATCATGATTGCACATGGAAGTCCAAGTATGAATTTCCAAAGTCCAAAGATGCATATAATACCCGCGATTCCGGGTATTGTATAACATTTCATGAACACCCTAGATGTGAAAAACGCCACGGATTAGTCACAGATCTAGTAATTGACGAATATTATTCCAAAAATTTTACTTATGCACTTTTCAAAAATTACTACACACGTTAACAATAATGTAGACGTGGTATTTTAAATATTTCTACTTTGCTAACATAAATATTTTTAGTTTTTCCATTATAATGAGAAATAATAAAAAAAGCTGTTGTTTGTTTGTTGTTTATTCTGATATACCACTGTTTATATACAATTTTCTAATGTGATAAGAATGGCTTTTGCAATCACCTTTTCACTAATGAACTAATTAAATTGAACTGAATCGAATTGCTATTGATTAACAATATGTGTTATAATTGAATGTTGCAATGAATAGAATTTGACTTATGAAATTCCATCATCCTTCCCTTCAAATTCTATTCATTTTACAATAAGTGAAATCTGAATTTTAAATATGAATACAATTCTTTGATGTTATGTTACTTGGATAAACACTCGTTCAGCTTCTTTTTTCGGTCTGCTAATAAATTTGCTTCGGTAATTCGATGCGCTGAGTATGTACCATATTCCCATATTCGCTTCCTCTTACTTTTAATTTAATTTTATAGTCCATCAGTGCATAATTCTTACTCATAATCTTGCTCATAATGCTCCCTCACCAATTTTACATCAATCATTATGATCGTCAGTTCACCTTCAAATTTTGAAGATGTCACTCCGTTCACCAGCTTTTACTTATTTCCTGAAAGATGTCCGCGTATTTTTCCGTTTAATAATGGTGAAACGTTCTTTGGACGTAGTAGAAAGTACAATCACTTTACTCTCTGTAATCCATCGATCAGAATCCATTTCTCCATTATAACTCGAAATAATGGAAATTTTCGTGTGAACACTTTCACTTCTCAATATATCGTCTAAATGATGTAACTAGCTTAAGATCCAGTGCCGAGTTAACCAAATTTGGTGCCCGAGGCAAAAATGATTTTGGTGCCCCTTGCAATTGTTTCCCGTTATATATACAAATAATTATAGATAAAATGAACGTACATATCGAATGCGAGCGGTAGCGAGCCAAATTTTTCTTTAGAAATACCATTTTTGAGGCACCAAAAACATTTTTGGGCCCATTTTTGGCTGCGTGTTTTCTTTTTCAGATTATTAAAAAAAAAAATCATGCTTGTGATGCCCCCAAGAACGTGGTGCCCGAGGCAACTGCCTCATTTGCCATATGGCTAACTCGGCACTGTTAAGATCATATGAAATAAACATGACTTTGTGAATGATTTTTATGAGAAAAAAAACTGTTTGTCTTTCATTTGTGTTTTCTTAATCTTCTAAACGATACTACGACAACCTGGAAGTAAAAAACGTTATATGCCTATTTTTTTAGTTTCATTTTGCATATTATTGGTGGAAGATAGTTGGAATTTTATTGGGAAAAATTGATGTTCTTGTCGAATTCTCGATTTTTATGGAAAATCACTGTGGTATTTCTGATTTTTTATTTTTTGCTAAAGTTTCTGCTTCCAGAGTCACATAAATTCTTAAATCTGTTATTTAGTTTTATTGTTCTGTTTCTGCTCACTGCTGTATCCAATATTTTATGTATTTCTCAGAACTGTGGTTATATTAAAAAAAAATTTGTGTTGCTTTGGACATTTTTTTCATTCTTAGCTTTTCCAGACAAGATGTTGACCGTGTGACTGCGTCCTTTTGCTTTTAATGGCTGGTTTTTATTATTCATTAGAAAAAAGGTTTGTTTCGAGACAAAATATAAAAAAAACTATGTTTATTTCATATGTTAATCTCATATGATTAAATTTTGCGGTTTTATTGTTACACATTCTTCGTAACACTCATACGTTTCGTTGCAAATGCAAGAACTAATGGCAGCCGAGGACAAAAGCAAGGAAAAAGTTTATTACTTTTTTTATTGCAAAAGGCAAGTTACCACACATATGCATGAAGTGGAATTCGGTTCGAACAAATCGAGTAACACAATATTGTGTTGGTAAGGATGATGTCATGAATGTTAAGCACATTTGCGATTTTATTGATGTCTAGAAATGTGTGCGTGTATTTTTCCTATTCTATTTTGCATACCCACACACGGATATAAAATAACGAAATGCTTTCATCCATTATGAACATGGTCAAATGCACACTATAATTTAGTTTCGTTTCGTCCGATAGCTGTGGAAGTTGAAATCAACGTGAAAACGCTTATCGCTTACAATTTTTACAACATATTTTGCTAGTTCATTCACGACATTACATTTGGATCTATTGCAGTTTCTTTCACAGTGAAATAATCGTTATTGTGAATATTTTATACTGACATGGATACAAATAAGTTCGATTTAGAATCACTGGAAAAATTAAACTTGTATGATCAACTTACAAAAGAGATATTCGATTCAGACACATTTGTTCTTTGCAAACAAAGCTCCTTGAAAAAGATTTTACAATTCAATGAAGCGAGATGCAAGGAAACGGAAATATTCCATGCATGCATAGCATGGGCTAAATTTGCATGTCAACGAAAAGGACGCGATAAAAATGATGCAAAAAATTTAAGATTGGAATTGGGCAATTGCTTTGAGTTAATACGATTTGGTGCAATGCGTCCTGAAGAGTTTATCAAACACACTGCATCGTACCGAGATATGTTCACGCGCGTTGAATTCGAAGATATTTTATACAAAAAATCAAGTAAATTTACACCAAACAAATTCAATCATGAGCCACGACTTTATTTTAAAGGAGATCTCGAGTATGTTCACGATAAGATTGATTACAAGTGTCCACGAGAAAATAAAGAAGAGCATCCAGAGTTACTGGATAAGCCATATTGTGTGGAAAATACCGAATCGGTGTGGTTTTCAAGCGATAAATGGATTGCGTTGACCGAAATTCAATTCATACCAATTGGGTTGATCATACATAATAGATTCAAGCCACATCATGAAAACTTCGAATTTGATATAAAAGTTATTGAGGTCGTTGCTAACGGGTTCGAAATGGGCATAAATGGAAAAGTCTATTATTCTGGAATCGCGACACTTGGACGAAATTACACAACCATTTCACTACCACAAGCAATTTATATTAATCCAGAGTGTACGTATGAAATTCGATTGGAAGTTATCAATCATCCAAATCCAGGCGACGATTTTGCTTTTCATTTGGTTGCATGGCATTCAGATTATGAATGCGAGGATAAATTTAAAATTGTATTTCATAAAAATCCTAAGAAAAGTAAATGGCATGGGCTGATATCAGAGCTAACAGTAAAACGTCTCGAATGAAATTGAATTCTTCTCTTCATTCATAAAAAAAAATGGAAAATAAAAAATAAAAATACAAAATAATAAGGAATATGTTATAATCGTAAACTGGCACATTTCGTTATTAAATAATTTTTCAATTCGATATAATTTTTTTTTAAAAAGGAATTTGATAAAAGATTATAAAAAATGTTCTGTTTACAATAAAATCGATTCAATAAAAAAATGCCTATATTATAGTATAGTTTATTGTTCATTTTTTTCGCTCTTATTTTTACTCCTCAAAGTATATATCAGGTATTTCAGTATCACTGTTTGTCAGAAATTCTGACTCAGAATGTTGATGATATCATTTTTGGCAGCGAGCGTTAATTGTTTTTTGGTTGATATTTACCTTGATACATTCATTGCATACACACAAATGCTGTTTATTCATTGTGATATACAGAGTGGTCTATGGTCGAAGAGTTAGAAGGGGGAACATTCGCGGAAAATATATGAAGAATGACGCTTCAAGAGAAACTTTGTCTAGTGCAAACTGATTTTTGGCAGAAAATTAACAGCGGAGGAATGATGCTTGGAAGAGCCTCCATCTACTCTGTGTACATACATGCCCATTCACAAATATACCCACATCGATATACACCGAAATATGAAATTAGCAAATGATTTCGTATATTTTTAAAATGACATAAACCAGTATCGTTTGGTCTTTGAAGAACGCATATCGCACTGTTTGTATATAGATATTGTTTTATTTGTTCACGATATTACGTTCTCATTTTGTCTTCAGTTATAAAAGACAGTACAATACATTAAATTGTATACAGTTCTCTACCCAAATTCCAAACAAACAGTTACGATTTCAATAATAATAGAAAACAGTTCTTCTATCAAACTCTTCCAAAATGGGTATTAAAACATTCACTATAGCTGTGGTAATTTTGACCTTTCTAAGCACGTCATTTCAAGGAGGTATGTCTTTATACTACTTTCAATTCGTAAAAAAAAATCACTTTTTTTTAAAATAATTCTTGAATCGACGCATAAATTGTTTCTTTTTTAAAACTCAGATTATTCAGAGCTTAAATAAAAAGAGTAAACACAATTTTTTTTTCTCGTTGTTTTTCCTAGCAAATGCACTAAAGTGTTGGAATTGTATAACGGGTGTTAAAGGTTGTGATGATCCGTTTGATCCAAATGAAATCAGCAATCAACTTCTGACAGACTGTCCCTGGGTATGCGTCAAGACTGGTAAGCGAATGGTTGTTTATCCAAGATATTGTTGAACATAATAGATATTTGCGTTTCTCAAAAATGAAATGACCGTACATTAATTATTATGATTTTAATCACCTTACAGTTAATGGTTATAATAACCAGATGTTTGGAGAAGGGAAAGTGTACGCTCGAAGCTGCAACATTGAGAATATTTGTGATGTGCATACATCAGATTTCTGTGAAACTTGCAAAACCGATGGTTGCAACGGCTCAGCACAAAATGGAGCAACTTGTGAAATTGTCATCAATTCAACGGCATTAGCCATATCTACTGGGATTCTTTATGGGATTTTAATCTCATAGAACTGAACGAAATAATTTGCAACAAGCAAAATATATATTTAACAGCTGTTTATAAATAGACATTTGGAGATTTTATAAATAAAAATGATCGCAATTCACTTGATAGCTTTCCGAAAATACCAACTGTTTTTTTTCAAATATCATAATTACTTTTTATTTATTAAACTTTCAAAACATCTGCGACAATCCACCGTAGAAGAAGAAAATGTTAATCTTAGTACATTGTTCGAAATATTCGTTGATAGTATAAATATTACCACACTATTATTGTGTGCCAAATAGATTATCTATTGGAGCCGCAATTTGAAGAGGTGTTGATTCTAAGTTTTTTTCTGCGCTTAGATCTGCTCTTTTTCCAATGAGAATTTCAACATTGGCCAAGATTCATAATGAAAATACGATATTATTTGATGCACCATGCAACCCCGTATTTACTCTTAAATTGATTGAATTGAAAATTTTATTCGTAATCTCTTAGATGAATATTCAAATCTTGGAAAATTTGCCGAAATGACTTCGGTTAGGGCGATTTCAATTGTAGATTTTATGGAGTTTAATCTAGTGTTTTTACTTTTTTTTATGTGAGAACAATTTTTTTTGAGTAATCGGCTATCGAAAAACTGCTATAAAATGGAACAACTCAAATCTTGGTCAAAAAACGTATTTTCCACAAATCGAATTTTTTTTCGAATGAAGAATGGTTCCAAATTTTTTTAGATAAATTGTAGAATTAAAATCAATTGTCTGTTTTCGAATATGTCAGCCCAACCGTTCGATATTGAGACGAGTCAAACTCAAATCTTGGCCACAAATTGAAATTTCTACAAAGTGAATCTTCCTCTTTTGTTGCTTGGTTCCATAAAATTGTAGAAAAAATGTAGAATTCAAATCAGTCATCTGATCCTTGATGTTTTCAACAACTTATTTGGCTCCAGGGGAGTTTAATATTTAATATGGGAATAAAACTGCTATAAAACTGCTTTAAACTGCTATAAAACGTGTTTAAATAATTGAAGTAGAATTAATTGTAGTGGCCTAACAAGTAATATTTGGGAAAATTGCATAGGTATTATGTAAATAATATATTTTGAAACATCCCATCTCCAGCATGCTTTGTCCGTCCCATTTTTATTCATATATATTGTTTGTCTTCAGCTTCCTTCAAGATTTGAGCCACTTCCGTCTTACCTACATTGAAATAAAATCATAACAATTCAACGATTTGTAATTACTGTCGTGGACTTTTGCATTAGTTTTAAGTTTTTTTTCTTTGTTAATTTTAGTTTCATATTTGTTTCATGGATTCTTTTTTAATTTACTCATTTAGTTTGCTCATGCATTGTTCAGTCAAATCACCGAACGCTGAACGCACTCACATTTGCTCTCGTTTCAAATGCGTTCTGCGACTTGACTGATGTGTGAGTAATATTCGCGCTAAGACGCTAATACAAAGGTAAGCGTACTGCGATGCGGCGACAGTTCGAAGAAAGAGAGAATCAAAATCAGTTTAGTTCTTCATGAGTCTCAGCACAGGACAATTCCTTATTGAATTGGCAGTACAAGTTGTGCGCAATTTAATCTGAGTTCGCATTGATACTCGATACACGGAAAGTGTCCACTCGTATCAGCACAAGTTGTGCACATTTTATTTAGGAAATCTCTTCGAATTGGCCAGATCTAAAGTTTAGACGGCTGATTTAAGTGTTCGGCAAAACGTGAGTTCGAATTGATGGCACATTCAAGTTGAATTGCAACTTTGAGAAGTTCTCATAGACCAATTTGCTACTCGCGTTGAACGAACATTCGCATATTTTCACTACGTTTTGTTCCGTTCAATCAAATCAATCGTCACGCTTCCACCACACAAACACGCATCGAATGAACATTGCCACAATTCATAACGAAAGCCAAATTGTCATCAAATGTGCCAATAAATATACACAGAAACGAATTGAAATGTTCGCCTTTTAATACAAATTTTCTTACGGTAGCAAAAAGGTAACAAAGTGCATCACATTACATTTCATGAAAAAATGTGAAGTCTCACCCTCCGTTTCGGCTACTTGACGAGGTGTATGTTTCATTGAGTCTTCTGAAAAAATATTTGCACCAAGTTCGATAAGAACACGAACTGCATTCACTTTGCCTGTAAAGAAAATAAGAGAAGCTCCGATAACAATAGGAAGACTTTTGATGGAGATGTATAAAGGATTTACCATTTTCAGCTGCTTCATGAAGTGGCGTCTTCTTCCAATGGCTTTTAGCATCTACCTGGGGGCAAGACACGGTATCAATTTGTCCTAATTCAACTATTTTGAACGATTTTTCCATTGTTTCTTCTAATTCCATAAGTTTTTGCTAATTTTTTAGTTTTTTCTTCCAACCAATGCATTCTTTATTTCCTTATGGAGATTTTTGTTTTGTTTATTTATTGTTGTTTGTAAACAAATCTGCCTATCTTTTTGCATTGTCTCTGTGTATTTCTTACGGACATATACTATGTACAGTGCAATGCGTTGATATAGGCAGACTTGTTGACAAATAACGGTAAATAAACAAAACAACCTCCATAAGGAAATTTATTGGCAATGCTCAATGTATGGAACAAAAAAGTTTCAGTCTCTCTAATTTATAATAATAATAATAATAATGCACCGCCAAAGACTGGCTGTTTTTATTCAATTCTTATGATTGAAAAAAAATAAAAATATAATAAATATTGTAAATAGAGCTGATTCTGCATAGCCGATTAAATTTGATAATATAATTAACTAGTTACATTAAATGGAATGAGTGATAAATAGACATTTTTCTGCTTTTAGCATAAATCACATTAGGTTAGGAAAAAAATGCGTGCTGTAGGTATTAGCTAATGACTTTATCCTGAAGACAGTATCAGGAAGTTTTTTGAGTGACGATTTAAAGTTGTTGCGTGAAGACGATTGTTGAAATAATGGTTTAATCAAGTTGGAGTATGAACACATTTGGTTGATAGGGGCGGTTTTCGTGATACTCAATCGCTGGTCGATAATTTTAAATAAATATGAAATTCGCGTATTTCTTGCATTTGTATTTTGGGTGACGAAGTTTTTTAGTCGCGGGCAATGAATAATGTCATTGATGAGATCGTAGAAGAACATCATTGAAGCGTTTATACGTCGTCTTTGTAGCGATTGCATGTCAAGTTTTAACAGGCGTTGATTCTGCTAATTTTGCTATTTTTAAACGAAATATCACTATTTTTCTTAATCGTGTCTGTCCCCTAGGCATCCACTGTTGCACCAAAGCGAATAAGAGCGTGAACTACATTCTCATGGCCTGGAAAGATAACTAGAAAAACTGCAATAAGAATAGGAACACTTTTGATGGAGATCATAGTTATCATCGATTTAGGGAAGATTTTTAAGTCGTGGACGAGATAAATTGAATTTCTTTCGAAACTTTCAGATGTCAATTTATGTGCTTTGGTTTTGAAAATCAGCAAAATGTTTATATTCTTCGGAAAGAGGAAGGAAAAACCTTTAATAATAATATATAATTCATGTTTCAAAAATAATTTTTCAAATACTTTAGATAGAATAGAACGAAATTGCGTTCGCTAAATTGTTCGTTGACAACTATGATGGAGATATGTGAACAATCTACCTATTTTAGCTGCGGAATGAAGTGGTGTGTCTTTTTTCTTACAATAATCTTCAGCTTCCACTTTTGCACCATGTTGAATAAGGGCACGAACTAAATCCTCATGCCCTGGCAAGGTAAAGAGAGAAGCTGCAGTGAAAATAGGAAGACTTTCGATGGAGATGTGTCTACCATTTTGAGTTGCATAATGAAGTGCAATCAGACTGTCAAATTCTTCAACATTAACATCAACACTTTCGGCGATAAGTTTCAGAATGCCAGTTAAGTTGCCCAAATAAACCAATGGAACGGAATACACGTCATCTTACCTAGATGACTATTAATCATGATAACATAATAACCCTTCCATAACTTACTATAATTTCTGGAATATTTTCAGAAGGAAAAATAAACAACATTTCTATAGTTTATCATTGATTTGGGAATGTTTGTAAAAGTTTTGTTAAAATTCAAGCGATTTCTATTATTCACTAAATTTTTACATAACCCTTCCAATATTATCTATACCAGCAACGTCTGTACCAGTGGAACGATTTTTTTTCAATCGAAAGTCTGGTAATGAACTCCAAAAGAACTCGCTTAAAAAATTATATTTTGATAGCTTTTATGTGCATGAATTCTTGGACAAGATCTCCTTTGAAATTGTAATTACTTAAAATGAATGATTCAATGTAACGTTTAAAATTTTGAAAAACAAAAATTATAATCTAAGACTATCACGCCTTTTCATTTCAATAAGATATATTATCGAATATAGCCTTTTTTGGCGCTACGATAAGAGCTCGTAGCCGATGGAGGTCCAGCGCTGCACACAAGTCTTCCTAATGTATTTTTACCTTTTGGACACGAATAGACTGGGTGGAATGCCTGAGAGTGGTCCCATAAATAATTATTAACAAATTTTATAAACAATTTAAAAAATTAAATTTTTTAGGTCGGAAATTTTTTTTCAGATTTCTTGGCCAATTCTGAACAAAAAAGATTCTTTAAATTTTTCCCTTAGGTTGATAGTTTTTGAGTAAAAAATCGTTGAAGTTTGAAAAAATGCGATTTTGGCAAACTTCGACTGGACATTACAGAGAAACTATAAACTTTATCTAACTCCACCAAAGCTTAAAATACTCCCAAAGGCTTATATTATTATTGATATGTGGTGGTTGTTTTTGAAATTTCGTACTTTAAAATCTATATGAGTTGGCTTTGATATTACTATGCATTGTATACCTATATATATTATGTTATTTATATTTATAGATATACAAACCACATATAAAAGTAAAGCCCTCTTACATAGACTTAAAGTACAAAATTGAAAAAACAACCACCACATAATAATAGTATAAGCCTTTAGGAGTATTTTAAGCTTTGGTGGAGTTAGATAAAGTTTATAGTTTTTCTGTAATGTCGAGTCGAAGTTTGCTAAAATCGCATTTTACTTCAACGATTTTTTACTCGAAAACTATCAACCTAAGAGAAAAACTTGTAAGAATCTTTTTTGTTTAGAATTGGCCAAAGAATCTGAAAAATATTTTTTCGTACCAAAAAATTAATTTTGTTTATTGTTTATATAATTTGTTAATAATAATTTATGGGACCACTTTCAGGCATTCCACCCAGTCTATTCGTGTTCAGGAGGTAAAAATACATTAGAAAAACTTGGGTGCAGCTCTGGACCTCCATCGGCTACGAGCTCTTATCGTAGCGCCAGGAGTATTAAACAAACTCGTGCAAGAAAAGCCTCGAAAATAATTAACAAATTGTTGCTAAATTTTAAAGCCAATAGACTTTAAAATTTTTTTACATATTCAGTACCCCAAGGGCTTTTATATAACGTGACTTTGAATTGTTTATTTTTTTTTATTTTTATTTGTTCATAATGGTAAAAAACAGGATAAATCCCAATTACATTTTTCACCTAGTGGTTTGATGATGATTTATTACGAAAAAAAAATAAGTAAATAAATAAAAATTAAATTAAATATATATTCTTGTATATAAAGAAGGAAAAGAATTTAGTAAAACAAAAAATTAAAGATAAGAAATTGACAGCTATCTAATTATAGTGGTTTACAGCTTATCGATTTTGGTTAAAAAGGCTCATTATTTCATTTTTGAATTGCGAATGATTTAAGTTTAGGATGTCGACTGATTTAAATTTGCGCTCGAACAATAATTGTGCTCTAGTGATCGGGTTTCTTTGAAGTCCGTAGTCATTATTCGGTGGTTGTGGGTTAAACAGGATGTTTGATCTGTTCGTACGTCGATTTACTCTGAAAATCGGTCTGGAGTGTATACAAAGGTCACTGTCATGCACTACCTTATGGAGTAGGCAGGCATCGAAGTATTCACGCCGTGACTCTAGCTTAAGCATACTCAAAGTATGAAGCCGGTTCTCATATGGCTGAGGATTTAGTCTACGCTTCTGGTGTGATTCCGTTGGACTCTCTCGATTTTGTCTTTGTGGTTTGTTTGGTATGGATTCCATACTGGGGTGGTATACTCCAGTCTCGATCGCACAAGTGAGTTATACAAGTATCGGATGCATTCAAGATTGTGAAATTCTGCTGTTGTTCTTATTATAAATTCCAACATGCTGTATGATTTTTTGACAATTGAGTCAACATGTTCGTCAAATCTGAGTTTGTCATCAAATGTAACACCCAGATCATTGACAGATGAACGCTGAAGCAAAGGAGTGTCATTAACCCTTTATCACATTTCGGTTCCTAAAGTAACCAGATACGCCAGACGCTATAGCAATGAAACCACTGAATATTTTTGCATTCTTGTTTGGAAACAAATGTAGGGAATTGAACTAGCTTTCATTTGATACTTTACAGGCTACAATTGGCTGGCTGAATGGAAAGTTTTTTCTGTTCATGTACTGCTGTAAAAAAAATGCGAAATTATAGCAGAATTCCACATTTTTCCTCCTCTTATCTTGTGGGTTTGTACATTTTTTTCAATTGTCAAATTAGGACTCGTAGGACCAAAACACATCAATTTAACTTTCTGCATCATTAGTTTTATGAAATTTAATTTTTTCAAGCTTTTATATTGATTTGACACTTTTGACTCTTTTCCGATTTTCTCGATAAATACGCAATTTTTCAAAAATCTAAGTATGAGGTCTTTCTCTATTTATCGTGGCACAAAACATATATCAAAATGATTCAAAAACAAAAAATTGTGCATCAAAGGGTTAATGAAGTAAATTGGGTCTGATGGAACGGTTTTGTTAGAAAATATCACAATGTGACACTTTTCAATGTTTAAATGAAGTTTATTAACAACACTCCGCCTGTACAGGCGATCTATGTCATGCTGAAGTTTGTTGTAATCCATAGGTGTTTTGATTTTGATGAAAATTTTTAAGTCATCAGCAAAGAGAAGAAATTCACATTTTAGAATGCTACTCAGATCATTAATGAAAATATTAAAGAGAATCGGACCAAGGACTGACCCCTGCGGGACACCCGATGTCGGCTCAAAGTCGATGACCTCGAACCATTAAACGTGACATACATTTGCCTATTGGTGAGATAGGACCAGAATATGTTGCCCAACAGTGGACAAAAGTTGCATATTCACAATCTTTTCAAACACAATCGCAATCGCATTTGCCATACAAATCGGTCTATAATTAGTTATGTTTATTTTATAGACAATATAAATATTTTCAAAAATTGCAGTTTCTGATTTTTTGCAAGTTGACAAATTATCAAAATTTAACGGAACACGACTTATTTTTTAGGTATTTTCGTAGCCTACAAGACGTGACTAGTCTAATTTTTTTTTGACCAATGGGTTTCCGAAAAAGTAGCAGATACTCATAAAAACGTGAAAAAAAACCAGAGTTCCAGGAGTAGATTCGTGAGGTTGGTGAGTAGGTTGTAAGTATGTTGGTGAGTAGGTTGTAGTCGGTTGTAGTTCGTTTGTAGATAGGTTCAAAAATAGGTCATTGGTGAGGTTGTTGGGTAGGTGTACAGGTAGATGTGTATGTTGATCAGTATGTTCATCGATCCATTCACGAACAAAGGAAATATCAGTGTATACTTCAGGATATTTGGGGTCTGCGCAACCACGAGACCATGACACAATTCCTACAAGACGTCCATCGATGGTCAAAGGTCCACCAGAATCACCATGGCAGACGCCTTTTCTAATCTCTCCTTGATATGTTGCACAGATATGACTCTCGTGAGGTTGGTGATTATAATACTTATAAGCGTTGATACAAGCAGTCTTGTTCACGATCGTAACGTTTGCATATAGAAGCTTAAGTGTAATGCCTTTTTCCGTTGTACCCCAACCACTGACGGTGGCATTGGCATAAGCCGGAATCTTTTCTCCGGCATCAAACATGGAAATGACTTGATAGTCATCAAATGGTTCTTTGACACGGATAACAGCGACATCATAGATATTGAACTTTGTATTATCTCTCACGGTAAGATAACCTTTAATCTCCGGGAATATATCATAAAAACTATGAGCAATAATTCGTGATTTGATATCACCGTATTTTTCGTGCCAAATGATGTTCTCAACATTGTGTTCGCTTCCATCCCCCAATACATCGGAATCAGCATTAACAGTAATTGAATCTTTCAAAGAAACGTTCTTGGCCGAACTTAAAGGAAAGAAGAAGGAAATATCATAAAAACAGTGGGCAGCTGAAACAACATAATTAGTTGAAATAATGGAACCGCTGCAGAGGTGGTGCGGCTCATTCTCAGCTTCATCATGTAACAGAATCGATACTTGATATTGAGGTATCCCAAGCGAAACAAATAGTGAGCCACCAATAATTCGTCGATTCCTGTTACTCCGTCCCTCCAGTGGGTTCGCTAAAATTAAACAAAATACAATGATTGAGTAATTAGATTATACATAAATATGAGGTGAAAAATGCTAAAGCTATTTGAAAGAGATAAACTCATATTTACATTATGTGCGTGTGGTATAAATCTCTGATTTTTCTTAATATTATGCTTAAATTATTACAAATGAGCGTTTGCGTAGACCTGAATATGTTACTTGTATCTTCTATTTTTAAAAAAGAGTTTTCATATGATTAAAACAGCACTTATATTAAAGATTTTGATGTTAAAACCCTCAGCAGGCCATTGCATGTCTAAATCAACAAGGTAAGAAGGTACGCAGTGTATCGAAACTATTTTCATGTCATCGGTTGGGAGGAACACTCTGCAGTTTCGGCTTAGTATTGAAGATCATTCCATTTTACTTATGCGCCGAAGACTCTGCCGTTTTGGGTGAGATTTCAAAAAAAAACATGCCATTTCGGAGGGTGTTTTGACAGCTTGAATTTGAGTTAATAACACACTGCTCTTGATAGGTTAGAGAATATAGGGTGAATCGAAAAACGTCCTAAAAACCCAAAAATCGTCCTATAAATTATGAAAATCATCCTAAATATCACAAAAATCGTCCTGACAAAATACAAAAATCGACCTAAAAGTCCCTAATTTCGTCCGAAAAATAGTACAAAAAACATCTTAATCATGTCCTCAAAAACTCAAAAAACATCCTAAAAAAAGATTGTGTTTGTTACAGTATATTTTACTGAGTTGTCCCATTGCCATTGAAATATATAATTAAACATACAGTTACTCACAAAATTGTTCAATGTGTCCAAAACGCATATTTTCTATATCGCATGAGGCAGATATGGCGATATTATCGTATTGTTCATGGGATCGAGTTTAGCTCCTATTTTAGTTGAGCGTGTTTTGGATACCATCATTGATAAAACGCTTTTGAAATTAGATTTCATACCAGTGTTTTGGTGCTCGTATGTTGATGATCATATCACAGCGGTACCTGAGGACAAAATCCAGCTAGTCCTTGACGCACTACATGAGTTCGATAACAACATTAAATTCACATATGAAGTTGAACAAAATGGGAGACTTGACTATTTGGATTTAAGCATCATGAGAAGAGAAAATGGCAGGCTGATTTCAAATTGGTACCACAAACCAATTGCATCTAATCGACTATTGAACTTCTATTCGAACCATCCAAAGCGTATGAAATACAATGTGGCCAGATCATTCATTCGCAAAAATTTTCGCTGCAGTCATAAAGAATTTTGGAGTGAAAATTTGCAACGAATCAACGACATTTTAAAGAAGAATAATTATCCGGAGAAGGTCATTATGAGTTTGATCGAGCAAGTGAGAAAGAGGAAACCAATTGATGCATCGCAGAGCTATGCGTTTTTATCGTCGACAAGAATCGATGATACAGCAACAATTAACGATGAAACAATCACAATAAATCAATACTCATCGATGGCATATGTTCCGGGTCTGAGTGAATCAATTGAAAATAGCTGCAAACAGTTTGCTCCAAATCTAAAACTAGCAATGAGACCGTATAAAAAAAATTCGTGCATGTTTGCTTATCAAAAAAGTCGCATCAAGACAGACGACAAATCTGGATTGGTATATAAAATTGAGTGCAACGTTTGTTCAGCTGTTTACATTGGAGAAACTATCCAAAAATTCGGAACGAGAAAATCACAGCACAAATACGATTGCAACAAGCCAGTCACGAAGTTTTCATCAGCGCTGGCGAAACACGCGAAAAATAATGATCATCAGTTCAAGTTTGATGAAGGAACGATTCTAAAGCGAGAGAGAAATAAAACAAAACTCCAAATTCATGAAGTCAACCAAATCATCAAGTTTGAAATGAATGCATGCAATGATAAAACCGATAAAAAAGACTACACAAATGCTTATGTTAATCTCATTAAGAATTCAAAATAAGTTTTTGACACCGAAATATTCAATTCATATTAATTAATGTTGATAGGTTTTTGAATCGATTAGGTTTTTTCGTGCAATATGATTCCGTTTAATGAGCGCATTTTCGCCAATCAGAGCAAGTGCCAACTTTGACATTTCGCTGCATTGTTTGTTATTGAAAATTAGATTCACAGTGTTAGAGTCAATTGGCTCTTGGTAAATTTATTTATTTACACACGAAATCTAGGTTATTTATTGATAAATTGTGAAAAATTATTTCATTTTAGATCCTGAAGATGGCTTTTGATAAGCCGAAATATATCGATCAAATGGAATCATAAATTTTTTTTTTGCATTTTCATTCGGAACAAGAAGGAGGCAATACAAAAAAGTCACACACTCTGTGTGAATCAAATATATAAACCTTTAGGTAAAAAATATCTAATAATGAAAAAAATCACTCAACATGGGAACTCAACTTGTATAAACATGCAAAGCACGTCACACTTTTGCGCTTTTAAAACTTAGTTTTATTTTACACTTGGCACGTATCAGTTCCGGTTTCTCTAAATTTATCGTGCAATAATTTGATTTTTGACATTCAATTATATTTTTTTTGTTCGATACTAATAATTCGTTTATATTGCATTTAAAGCATTCCAAGGGGAAACATATATTTCGATTAATTATGATTTTTAAATTCGACGCAATTTTTTGTTCCGTTTGTCCGCTATTATTTTTCATCCAAATAACAGAAGGCAAAATCAAAAATTTACTTGATCATGTGAATACGCAAGATAATATGAACGTTGTGACGGTAGGTAAATTATTTCATTAACAAAAATATGACAAATCGTCGGCCCCGTGCAACAAGCTGCCAATTCGCTTAACTTTTTAATAACCTGCCGATTGAGATACCGTGCAACAAGCCGCCAATTCAAATTCAATGCAACAAGCTGCCGATTCAAATTCCGAGCAACAATAGACCGATTGGGATTCCGAACAACAAGACACCTATTCAGATTCCGTGCAACAAGACGCCGATTGAGTTTCCGTGCAAAAAGCTGCCGATTCACGACCGATGTGATTTTGACCTGCATGTTCACTTTGGGCCACTTACGAAAATGACAATTATTTTTTTTTCTGCAAAACGACTATTTCATACGCGGAGTCATCGAAGCATAACTGGATGGCAATTCGCACATTATTTGTTAATTTGCGGTTAAAAATCTTAGTAGTAGGGATTGTTTTAATAATTCAGGTGCTTGTCGATCATAATGTGTTCCAAAAATGTTTAATTCTAGCGTGAAAACTATGTTAGTGGCCGTATCTCGTTACGATTTTCTAAAAATCAAGCTCCCTCTTCCATGTAAGAGCCCGTAAAGATTTTTACAAATATGTACTTTCTAAACCGATAACTGAGAAAAGTTTCATTGAAAATTGACTAATCAATCGCCGATTTAAAAATCGCGAAAGTACGTCTCATCTTTTGCCTTTTTGTCTTCAAACTGAATGATTTGCAAGCAAAGAAATGAATTACAAAAAAACCAAATTAAATTAATTGAAAAGCAAAAACTTTCAAATCACGATTTTATTTTTAATTCAATGTATCTGACCTTGATCCAAATTGAAGGCTCAACAATTTTTTTTTCTTAATTTTGGGCCTGGTTTCATGAGGGCGAGCAGTTTTGTTGTTATAATTTAAAATTCAAAGTCACGAAGAGTATTGAAATTAGTACTCAGTTTTTTTTTCACCTTTTGGATGCTTGAAAGATTGTTTAATTCCGCACAAAATAACTTGAATATACGATGTGATGTTATAAATCAGTAGTCCGATTCCAGTCACACCAAAATACCACAATGATGATTTAGAACTAACTTTTATGCTTGCTGTTTTACACTTGCTTTTATACTTCATTGGACAGCAAAAAATCCGCATTGCCTTATCGCTGTTGCATTTGGGTATGGCTGAGCATTTCTGAACGGTGTATTTTTCGTCAATAATTCCGAAGAAATTAATTACGGGGGGATTCAGAAATCATTTAGAAGAACAAAAAAGTAAACAATTCTAACTTTCTAACATTGATATCACTTGTTTTATGTTTGAATCGATCACTTAAATGACTTCGAAAGACATTTTTTCATTTGATATCAGTTATTTTGTAACAGAAGGTCAAGCATCTTGAGAGATCATGTTTGTGCAATGTTCGACAACAACAATAAGAGGGCAAAGTGGCGAAAAAAATTGCCTTTCACCGATAGAGAGATTATTCTTTGTTGCTTTCAAAACGGACAAATAATTTGAATTTCTACGCTTTATCTACAATTTATTAGAACAATTCTTCGTTTGTATACAGAGAACATGACATCATGGAATATATATGTATATAGATGTAGATTATATTCCATTATGAACTGAGCATGGATTACCAGCATGCGGATATTTCAAAATTTAAACTTTATTCGATAATAATGCAGTATTTCGTGTGTCCAATCGATTGATGTTATCGCCATCGAAATTCGTGCTGCTCATCACTTATTTTTGTATTTTATCAATGCAAAAATAAACATTTAAAAATTATTTTTGGACAGAATCAATACACTGTACAAAATTGCAATCAAATGTGGGTTCCAATACTTTCATAAGATTATTATGGGAGTGCTCAAAACTGAAGATTTTGTTTTGTCGTTGAATGCAAGTGATGCACGTTACAAATACTTTGAAAAAAAAAAATTATGTGTGAGATTGAGTGTAGTGTATGTTTTTTGGCGACTTATATTTTGATAAAGTAGAGTATGTTTCACGACTCGTGGTTTTTGGTGATTTTTAATTTTTAACTGACAAACAATATCAAATTGGTGTTTTCGCAAAAATTATTGGTCTTGTCAAACTGTTCAACTTTGCAAAAGACAATTATCGTATATGGGTTGAAATGAATAAATTATTCGAAGATTTGGTCATTGCTTGAAAACATACTATAATTTTTCCAATACAAAGTCTGTGAAACATAGACCACTCTCAATTTCGCCCATAGATTTATATTGCCTTTATTTCAAGAAAATTGACAAAAACAACAAAAAGTACGGACAGCAGTACAGAAAAGTTCGGGAAAATTCTATTTATTCATCGTTTTTCTTCAGCTTCATCCAAGATTTGGGCCAATTTCGGAAAACCTATAATATATACATAGAACCATAAAAGTTCAACTATTTTCAATTTAGTTTCATACGAAATTATGACCTTACCTCTTTTAACGGCTATCTGGTGGGGTGTCTGTTTCAAATCGTCTTCAGCATTCATATTTGCCCAAAGTTGAATAAGAGCCCAAACTACTTTCTCACGACCTGAGAAGATAATGAGAGAAGCTGCAATAAGGATAGGAAGACTTTTGACGGAGGTGTATGAACAGTTTACCATTTTGAGCTGCCAGATAAAGTGGTGTCCGTTTCCAATGGTCTTCAGCTTCCACTGTCGCACTAAGCTCAATAAGAGACTGAGCTATAAATTTTCTTGTTTTTCAGTTGCTACTGTAGTTTTATTCAATAAATTCACCAAATAAAATCATTTTGGCTTGTACACTACCCATATTTTACGTTTTCTTCCCAAAACTTGAAAAAAAAATATCAAGAAGTCTCTGATATGTTCATTGATTTCACATTGCAGTGATAGAAAGGGCATTGTGGTGTGTGCTATATATAGTTTTCATGCTAAATACAGCGAGTTGCAAATGAGATGCTCAACTCAAAGCGTAGGAAATGAATAAATATTAAAATATTCAATTCATTCATAACAGCAGTCTAGTGAATAGCCTTTTTTTTAAATTCGTATTTTCTATACGGTCGTTGATGCAGAGCACTATTTGGAGACGCAGCGAAACCAATGGTGTACTAGAACGAAGCATTTGATGTGTACATGTGCCTCACCTAGCCCACGAAAAAAGTTATAATCAAATGGAATGATGATTTGAAAGGAATTCAGCAACACAACCAATTCTGTTAGTAACTTGATCACGTGCAATGTATTATCAATTCAAACATTCTGTCGGCATCGATTCGCTTACAAAACGTATGCATTTTTAGTGAAATTTGTGTTTGTTCCAACACAACTCATATATTGGCTTCAGTTTGTTTGCATAGGTGGAATAATATATTTCGAAATGTATAAAATAATAAAAAAAAAGTTCTGCTCAAATCAGATGATTGTAGTAATATTTTATTTTTCAACTCCAACGAAACATTTCAACATTCTCATTGCGTGTACATTTAGCGAGAAAAAAAAAACAATTTGTTTTATTATTGACAAAATCCACTAGGCCTATTAAATGTATTCACACATATGGTGTGTTTTCCATACGGAATTCTAATTTCAAGTACGCGCTGCTCTATTACCACATTCGCACTCTACATCAGCAGCATCACATTCGATGTTGGCAATGCAGTGTTGGTCGCAAGTACGCATGGTGTGTCATTGAGAGACGCGGCGAACAAAAACAACGTACTGGAATATGGCAGCTGCCATATACGAAACGGAAACATACGAATTCATCCGAAGTCAAGTCACATTAAATAATAAGAAAAATATGGTATATTCATTCGATGGATAAGCAAGAAAAACGAAATAAATTCATGAAAAAATAGTTGAAAGTTTTCGTTTCCATTGGATTTTTGTCAACAGAAACAATTTGTGCATTACAAATGAAATGAAGTGGTAATATTTGTTTAGGATTTAATTTGTTTTAACTACGGTGAAAAAGGCGAAAAAAAAATTGGTGGATTTTGAGTTTTTCGTCGACATAAAGCAATAGGCATGAAAAAGGCTGGCAAGAGAGCAAAGCAAAGCAAAGCAAGAAAAAAAATCGAAGCGAAACAAGCACGACAACATCGGCTTGAATAGTCAAATGTGGAAGTGTGAAAGAGACAGGGAATAAGTCTATTGGTTTGCGTGCGTGTGTGTGTATATATATTGTGTGTGTCTCGGAATATACTCCCTGCAAACGAATAGTCGACGGGAAACAAGAATAAAAAAATGAAGTAGTAATCGCAACAATAGCATTTATATTCTGAATATCACGATTGGAATAAAGATGGGAAATAACTTTGTATGAATTTTAAAATTCGCACAATAGACTTTTGTTTGCGAATATTTGTTTGGCATGCTTTAAATATGCCTATACGGAATTCAAAGGGAAATCGAAAAATCGGTGGGTGCTTCGATCTGAAATATGTAAACGCGGGAAAATATGGGGAAAAAAAATTAAAGTGTAACCAAATGGGAATAGCAACCGTACTGATTTGTTATTTGTTTCTTTTCTATCCGCAATGTGTGGTCTCCCAGCAATGTTGTGAATCTGGAATTTTGAACGATTAAAAAACACGTCAATAATACTTGATGAATCAAATGCCAGTGTATTAGCTATAATGTGTTTATTATTACAACAATCGATGTTCTGATTCGGATCACAAATTTTCAGTGCAAAATGCTGTTGTTTATTTCTCTTCCAAAAAAAAAAACTGAATCCGCGAAATACAAATCGATGAGAATAAAGAAAAGCAATTGTGTGTAGGCAAAATTCGGTGGAATTGATTATTTGTTTGGCAAAGTACGCTCTTCCTATAAAGTACGAATGAAAACAACAATGATGAAATTCCGCTTTGTTTGGTATATTCGGCATATGAAACTTGAACAAAGCTGGTTTTGCACGTGTCTTTCTTTTGACTTTTTTTTTTGTTGCATTTCCCATGTGTTTGTGTCGAATGTTTTGAATATAACAAAGCGTGCAATCAACTCGCAAAAATCAATGCAATTTTTGTTTATTCAAATTGATGAAAATAAAATTTTATAAATTTATGCGCCTATCTTAAAAATTCATTTGATTTGCAGAATAAACTAGAAAAATTGGTGGAAAACAAATTCATTGTGTTTACATACAGAAAAACCAAAATAAACGTGGTGTTTTATGCTGAGACAAAATATCAGTGCAAAATTTGGCTAAAATATGGTTATTAAAGCATCAATGTTACGAATGTATGAATAAAACCCAAACAGTGGTCCGCGAGTGATTTTCGTTGTACATGTGCGCTCCGCTTGCCGTGCCCGTTCCTGTGCGTGTATTAATATATTTTCATGAATACATACGCATACAAACAAAACAATGGAATGTTAAGACGCAATATTTTCGTACAAAAAATTTCGGCAATAGTGAAACGATCAGAAATAAAATGTTTAGACGAGATCTGTGTTAGATTTTTTCTCTTGTTGAACCAAAATTAACACCTTACATTTGACTGTGTGTGTGTGTGTGTGTGTGTTTTCATTCCTGTCGAATGATTACTCTGTATAATATGGACAGAATTGGTCATTAATCGTTTGGTATTTTAGCATAACAATCCTATTGGATTGGTATCTCATCCGTTTGTAGTGCGTACAATAGTGGCTAATTTGGAACACGACACCGATTACTAACATCGGGTGTACACTTTCCATGGGTTCTGATGTTTCAGTGACTGGATTGCATGCTCTTCATTGTATTGTTTGTTTGTTTTGTTGATACTTTGTGAACGATTGCACATTTATTGAATTCATCTTCGAATGTTATTCTGAATACTATTTGTGACGAGAAACTCGAGCAAACAAACTACTTCAATTTAAATTGTAATTGCTTTCATCTTCCTGGTTGAATCGATAGCCTTCGCCTTAAAATGCCGCATGCACATCAATACCCATCACATCACACCATCTCATTGGAAGAACAATCAATTACTATTAGCAATAACGAAATACCAAGAGTATATTCAATTGTTACAATACCAGTGAGAATTTAAAGAATTTAAAGGCACATTTGTATCGGATGCCAAAGGTGTTCATCTCATTGTGTTGAAAGCATTCTATTTTTTCAATTCACCCAGTACATATCTTGCATCGCACGTGGTTGTATATTGCAGCATCGGCACAAATAATACGGCATTTTTGCTCGATTCCACCAGGAGGCTGCAACATTGACTTCTTTCCATACTAATTTGACGTTTGTCAGTGATGAACGATTTTGCAGTGCCATCTGCACATATTTGACTATTCAAAGTGAACTAGCTGTTATCAGTAATGATGAGTCATTGATGTTCAATTTTAGGTCATAAACGGCACTTTTGCAATTTTCAATGTACCGTTAATGACCCAAAATTGAGCATCGATGACTCATCGATACTGATGACAGCTAGTTCACTTTGAATAGTCAAATATGTGCAGATGGCGCTTTTCGTATTTGAGGTGATACGTTGCAGCTGCCCGGATTCCACCTTGATTTTTCGGCTTTATGGGCTTATCGCGAGATATTAATTCAACAGAGTTTCAGAAAAAAATACCAATTGATTGACCAAAATGAATCCATTCTTACAGTCTAAATGTAAAAAAATCATTCTGATGTTTGTACCCATTTAAGTAGATTCAGACTTTCTTGCAATGCACTGTACATAAATGCATGAACTTCGACATGATAAATCGAAATTACAATCAATTTTATTGCTGGTCCAAACAAATATTCGTAAGAAAATAGCAGAGATGGAGTAAATGTATATCAATTCGATGAATTTACTGTACTCGGTACAGTACGGTATATTTACATTGATTTACCTTTGCGTTAAATAACGCGTCCGCTCTCACTAAAATATGAGTTGACGCATGTGCTCCGCGCGTTCAACGCAAAGGTAAACGTTTAAGTATATACCGATACACATTTCCATACACTTGCGGTAAACGATCAACCATCTCTGGAAAATAGTATCGAGAATTTTTCATGAAAAAAAGCACCGAGAATGAGAAGAGAAACGTTTGTGTATCGGAAATATTTTGAATGAATTCTTAGGGGTTAAAAGTTTGAATGAATTCGCAGTGTTTTTATATGCTTTCCCTCTTTCCCGCCAAAAATGTTTGCTCTCTCTCTCCCTCTCTCCCGTCTCTCTTCAGCAAATGAATATAAAAAAAATATATCATGTTTTTACTTTCAGATCCGAATTGATGTACAGTGAAACATAAAAGGATAATTATTCAAAGTCAAACACATTGAACAGCAAATAAGATAAAAACTAGTTCAACATTATAATTGTGGGAAAACAATAATAAGGTATGTATGATTAATTCTAATTTCAATTTGCATTCAACGGACTAAATCAATTATTTTCCTTTTTAAAATCATGTAGGAGAAGAAAATTCGTAAAACTGAAGCTTTAAAATATATTGCGTATCATCAAACTCAAGCGGGAATTTTACACACAAAGAACAGATTATGTGTGTAATGCATACTAACGGAAGACGATTGCACGTCATTCTTACCTTCGCTTGATCGTCAACCAGACACATTTTACGGGTTGAAAAATAAGAAACGAAGTCCAAAGAGCTTGAATGAAAAGGAAACTTAATAGAAAATTCAATAAAAGGATCGCAACGATCATTATTGCATTGTAATATGTAAGTGAACGACATTTCCATAGTAAACACATGTAATCTTACTAGCATAATGCATTTGTTGGACAATAAATATACTTTCCATCGAAATTGTTTAGTCATAAATTGATAGAAAATTACTTTCGATATTTAAGAATGATGCTATCGAAACCAAACGATATTCCTTTGCAATTGAAAATGAATGTTAAAGAAGAGCAAATTGCTTAAAATGTTCAACAATCATTGATAAGATTTTGGTTTTTCGTTTCTTTTCATTTTGGTTAAAATCTTCAGTAATCGTTGAGATCTCGAAGATTTACGTGGGAAGGAAGTGATTTGGTGAACAAATTAAAATGGAAAATAGCGAAAATTTGGTCGCTGACATTCGCAATGAAAACGACGACCCGTTCTCGACACCCTCTCTCGACGAAATGACACCCGAAGCCGACGAAGCCGAAGAAGAGGAAGAAGAAAGAGATACGTTAACCGGAGAACCGTCGGAGATAATTCCAACAACGATGCTCACCCCACCACCAACCGGCGAACCATTGTTGAATGGCTCATCACGAAGTAGCATAAGTGGAAATGATTTGCAGCAATTTACAGCCGATGAATCAACGCAACAATCGCCAGTCGAATCACATCACACCGATGAGGGCAATTCAAATCAAAGTGCAAACAGTGATTCGGTCGATTCAAAGTTGATCATAAACGAGGGTTCGATTGATTCAAGCGATATAAGCAATACAGTGGATAGTAAAACGCTTGAACCATCGGCTGATGTTCATTTGGATGAGAATTCTGAATACATTAGTACACTACCTGCAACCGTGATCGATAGCAATCAAACAGATGAAACGCTTGATATGAGGAATGAGGAGGATTCTCAACCAGTTACACATGATGAAGACGTGATACCAACACCACCCGTTGAATGTGCTTCAAGGGATGTGGACGAAAATGATACGGATATAAATTCACAGCAACATGAATCGCTTGATCATGCTGATAAAAATGTCAAAAATGTGCCATCACAATCGATGAACGGTGTTTTGTGTCAGAACGATGACTTAACGCCGACAATCGATTACGGAACGGAAAATCGATTGGCAAACGAAACGCATACGGAACATAGGAAACTTAAACGAAAACTATCCGATTCAATATCGGATCCGTACGAAACATCTCAGAAACATACAAAATTCAACAATCAAACAAATAGTATAGGCTTAAGTGATAATCAAATAGTTGTAGATGATTCAATATTAAATCATTTGGTAAATCACGATCAAATAGCCGACAGTTGTGAAGAGCCACCCAATGCTGATGTTCAAACGAGTACGGATAGTACAGATCCACCAATGGTGCTGGAGAAATCACAAGAAAATGCGGATGAAAATTTCAACAGTGAGCTTGTCATCGATGATTTGTTGCCCGTAACCAAAGATAAAAACATTGATGAATGTGATCATATCTATATGAATGGTCACACCAGCAGCAGTAAAGCCGAATCGACTTTATCGATTGATGCACCACATGAAGAAGAGTACAACCACCACCACCACCACCACCAACAACAACAACAACAACAACAACAACAACAACAACAGCAACTAACGTTCACACCAAAAAACGATTTAGACGAATGTATTCAAGCGCATGCATTGAAATCGAAAGTGAAAAATCCATTTTCGACACCACCACAAAGCGAAACGAATTCAACAAGTGATGAACGATCATTAGATGTACAACCAGAAAAATTAGAAACAAATTCACAAACGGATCTTACGGTAGAGCAATCGGCAACAATACCAACTCTGTCAACAGACCACACATCTAATCTCACGCAAACACCGATTAATTATGGCGTCATTTCGAGTACAACAACAATGAACATCAGCGGCAACAGTAATAGTGATAGCAACGCATCGTTTGCAAATGCGTTCAGTGGTGATAAAACCTTGGATGTGGCTAACGACACTACGAATATAGACCATCCCAAAGCAACGATTACACCTTCTCAAACACAATACAACGGCAAAAAGATTAATACTCACATTCGCATTCGACGTCAGGTTTTTTTGTGCTCAGCATGTGGCACCTACTACGAGAAATGGAACCTGTTCTATCACATACGAGAGGTGCACAACAAATTCATCTGTTTGTTTTGTTTGGGCATATTCCCGAATGCAGAACGTTTGGTCAACCATTTAGAATCGAAACATGTTCATAAGCCATTTGTCTATGAGCATAAAGATGACTTACTGAAATCGTTGCGCAACCAATGCTTTCTTACGTGTTGCGTTTGTGAGCATATTTTTACGGAAGATGATGATGTTACGGCACATTCATGTGAAACCTTTATGAAACCATGCTCAGTTTGTGGGCTCAAATTCATTCATAAAAGCAATTGCAAGGCGTTGTTATCAAATAAGTTATCAAAGCATAAACAGAAACGGACGGCCGTTGCACCAAACACCGTTCAACAGATGTTGCCCAATACGGTCACGACGCCGATGCCGACAACGATAGGTAACAATATGTCGCAACAAACGTTCCTACGAAATGCGCTGCTGGGTCAAGAGCCACGAATTAATCAGTATGGTGACTATCAAAGTGCGCCGATCATTGCACAAATGCCAATGTTTGATCGTAGACTGAATAACGTACAACCACATCGAATCCAATCTCAACCGCATTCACAACCGCAGCCTCAATCTCAGCTTCAGCACCAGCGTCAGTCACATCTCCAGCCCCATCGTCATCAAAACCCTGAACCGGCTATGAATACATTGAATGGTGGTGGTAAACAACCAACTCTGGTAAGATTTATATCGACTTTTTTGTTATTGATGAAAGAAATCCATAATATCTCCAAATTAAATCAATCAAATCATTAATATCTCATGTATATGTTTTGATTCCAGGTTTCGAAGCCACACATGAACACACCGGATGTAACGTCAAATTTCTATAATTCAAATGTATTGCCAATCCATAATGCAGATATGTATCACGCGAGTCATGTACCGTATTTGAATGTATCCAATGGACCGTATACCCAAAATCAATTGGACGCCAGATATCCGGCATCAAACATGACATTTGGCAGAGGATTGGACATATCAACGAAACCGTCATTTGACATCGATCGGCTGGAAAAGACCCAAAACAAAGATCATAATCACAGCAATAGTGACAGTAGTTCGGACAGCGATGATACAAACAACGATAGCGATTCAAGTAGTGACACAGATGTGGAAAAAGAGGATAAAGAAAACAGTTCAAAACGTGTTGTTAAACCGTTTCGACTTAACTTGACCAAGGTGAGATAGTTTGAAAAATTGTCTACGTTTCAAATAAATGATCAAACTAAAATGTGTTTTAATTTGTATTTAGAATAACATGGTCGAGAGACGAGAATCACCCTATGTTGATGAGCAAAATGATAGTGCACATGAAGATGATAGCATAGACAATGAAACTGGCATAGCAAACAGTCTGAACGATAGTAGAAGTCATCAAAATATGTCGGATATCACCAACATACAAATGCGAATAGATAACATTAAGGTATGGACTGCCAAAAATCAATGGTTTTAATTTCGACTTCTAAATCATTTCTCACTTATTCCCAAACAGCAACAAATGAGTGCAATGCAAAGAGTTGAGGAATCACCGCCATCACTGAAAGTCCCAAAATTAACGCTTAAGCTCACGAAACCATTTCAAAATCCCGTGGAATCGGAGCAATCGTCGACGGAAAGTGATAGTGACAGTGAGAATGAACACGACGACGACGATGAAAATGTGTCTCATGAGCAGCAAGACGATACCCCAATCGACGTTGGGTCAGGAGAAAAAGTGATGGATCTTAAACAGCCATCATTTTTGCAACCCGACACTGAAGCGGCGCTTCAAAATCCATATAACACTAACACTAGCAATTGCTTATCAAATCCAATTAACAACAACCATAGCTTTGATGATAGTTTGAACGAAAGTGGATCATCGGATAAAAATACATCAATAGAATCAGGTGAAAAGTCAACATGTGTCACTGAAGACGCTGAATATCAAACACAAGCACAAAATCACCCGTCTGCACCGCAGCAAGATGAACTTTCGATGAATTGTGAATCGGACCAGTTGCAAATTCAACCAGTTCAGGAGCTCACTACAAATACGGAGCAAACAAACATCATTTTAGACAACCTAACAAACATCAATGTAAGATTTTTCACAAAGCAACCCATTTTTCATTCATCCCACACACACACCAAATACTGATCTTCATTTTAATTGCAGGAAAATTTCTATCCAACATTGGAACACAATCAGAATGTGATGACACCACCCGATAGCATTCTCGATGGCCAAGCCGAAGCAGAAAGTGAAAGTCAAACTGGTATAACCGTTGCAATCGCACCTGAATTGGACAATGAACATCCAGAACAAGACATCATTGATGTTGATTCTCCTCAGGTGATTGAGGATAAGCGTCCAATCACGGAATTCATATTAGATCAACCATTGGATAAAATCCCAATCAAAAGTTTCATTCGAAAATGTTTGCAATTCACCTATCCAAATTGTTTGTATTGTAATCATGCACGATCGATTGCTGTGAACGGTGTTAGTCTGGCTGAGCATTTAATTGGTGAGCATCGATTTAGCGCAACGGTGGACAGTATCACAGCGGAAGAGCTGCTGCCGGAAACTATTGAGCAAAAAATCACTACCGGACTCGACGAATTGGATGAGACATTTTTCAATATGGAATCATATGATAATAAAATCATCGATCCAAATTATCAATTTGTCAAACACTTTGAATGTTTCCAGTGCCGTTTTCACAGTCCAATTTACAAAGATCTGTACCTACACAATCGTAAAATGCATCTGAGATCGGCTCTGATCTGTTTGATGTGCCGATCAAATTTCTACAGCTATAGTGAACTGGTGTGTCACATGTGTCCGGGTGCCCAAATGAAACTGATTCCGATCGATTTGAAGTTCCGTTGTGTTCTGTGCAATCTAGATGATATCCCGTCGGCCTTCCGTTTGATGGTGCATCTGCGTAAAAAGCATTCTGCATGCGATGTTTGTCTGGAGGAATGCAGCGATCAAAGCAAATTGTCGTGTCATGTGTGGAAACACAAGTTGCACCATCTCTGCTATCGATGCAATATCACCTATCGCAACAAAGCAGATATAACACGGCATTTATTCTGGAAACATGGCACTGAAAGTGTTATGTGTAAGCGTTGTTTGGAGAAAAAGTGGCCGCATGTCTATCACTTCTGTGTACCACCCGTTTCATTCAAATGCGATACATGCAATCAAGCATTTTCAAAAGCACTCACACTCAAAGTCCATAAACGTTTGCATGATCCGGAGAGTATCACGTTTCCATGCTCACTTGATGACTGTGATCAGAAGTTTATATCGAAAAAACTGATGATTAAACACGTTTCGTTGCACTACATGCCAGAGCTGCCTCCGCCATCTGAGGAAAAGATTCTTTCGAGAGAAAATAATGAAAATGAATCTTTGATAGGTAAATTGACAAACGCGCCCATGATTTCATATTCAATCGAATGCTAAACCATATATTTTTCTCCCACATTTACAGATAAACAAGGGACAAGTTTGCAAGCTAATTCACCTTCACATTCTCCGAGTAGAAATTCATCCGAACGAATTGAACAGGAGGCCCCAATCGATGCAGTCATCAGTGTGATTGAGCACGATGCACGGGAACAGGAGGAGAAGCAAAAGCAGCTGAAAAAGGAATCGACTGGTCGAAATGAATCGTCAAGCGAACACATTCACAAAAATAAACCGAGAAAATTGAAGAAAAATCGGTCCGATTTTAGTGATTTACTCGACTTACCATCGGTCAACTTGTCGGAGAGTGATAGCAGTGAAGATTCTGATGCGGAAAGTAACCCACCACATGATCCATCGACGGAAAATTCAAGACATTCACTTTCGACAGCTTCGGGAACCAACGAAATGGTCACAAAATTCAAAAGTGCACAACATGCACTGGATGACGATGATGATAGGGCCGTCATGCTTGAGGCGGACATATGGGAAAACTTCAAAACTTATCAGGCCAATCAAATGCAAGATAAATCATTAGACAGTTCGGAAGAGGAGCAAGTGATTGCTGAGAATCCAGTTTTGTTGCATGTTAGTCAGTCTGACCACGATTATTCGATGATGTACAAGCCATTGGTGAAGAAACCGAAAGTACCGAGTGTAGAGATGATAGCTTCATTTGCCCCAATAATTGAAGAGAACGAACGAGGTGACATAAAAATCACTGTGGTCGAAGCAACTGAATCAATAGCTGAAAATTTGAATCCACAATCACCGACACCGTTGCCCACTTCAACTGTTACGATTACCGATGAAGAGATACCAAAAACCGAAGACGAAAATGTTGTTGGTGATACTGAGGAAAAACTTGACACCGACAAAAAAGATGCGAAAAAGGTGAAAGCCGACAAATCAGATCGTAAAGCGGATGATAGTGATTCGTCGTCTGATTCAAGCGATTCAGACTCAAGCTGCTCGTGTGGTTCAAATTGTAGCTGTAGTTCGTCCAGCAGTTCATCGAGCAGTTCCAGTTCCGATTCGGGTAGTGACAGTTCAAGCTCAGAAGGCAGGCGTAAGAAAATGTTGTCAAAAACAAGAACACCCGACCGAACAACACCGGAAAAGAAAGTGGTGGCTGATGAAGTAGAGCAAAAGGTTGAGCCAATGCAGGAAGAGATACCGGATGCGCCGACCGTAAGCCCGAAAATCGAAGCCGATGACAAATCGGAAGCATTGCCGGATGAAACGGAAAACGTTGACGTTGACGTTGAAAAGCCAGAATCAGCCGATGTTGACGTTGTCGATGTCGTAACAACTGACAAGAAATTCACACAGCCAGACATTTACACAATCGTAGTGGAGTCGGATCTTGAAACAACTGATTCAGAAACTGACGAAGAATTCTATGATGAGCATCCACAAAAATTGGCCATTCAAATGTTAGCTGAAAAGCGGCAGCAATTGATGTTGCAAACATTGAACCCAGTGAATGGTATGCCATACATGAGTACGAGTCGACCAGCTACACCGTTGCTGCCCGAAGAAACACCCAAAGGTCCGAAGACCAAAACCAAAAAACGTCGTCGAACACACAAGAGCTCACGATCACCACAAAAGCAACTGTCTAAAAATATTCCACGATTCAATGCAAATGGACTTCATCACACGCCCAATAATTTGTCACTTGTGGAAAAGCCATTAGAAACGGTCGCATCACAGGCTGTTACTGCAGCATCGGTTACAATTCCAGAACCAGCTCCATTCACAATGCAATCGAATCCATTTATAAGATCGCAAATCGATGCATCGTCACAAATTAATTCGAATTCCAATGTTCTGCCCGCAGTGGTTTCAACACCGGTTAGTTCGAATTTCGATAATTTACTCAATACCCCAGCAACATTACCATCCAAACATCATTTAATGCGCTTGAGCACAAGCAGTGCATCGGATGCCGACAACTCATTGAAACGTTCAAAACGTCGTCGAATACCAAACAAATTCTACGGCTACACGAGTGATGATGAAAGTATATCTGCTGCAAGTACGCTTAACTCAAGCTATCAGCATCCATTCAAACCAACACCACCTCCAAATCTGAATAAATGGCGTGAATCACTTACGTGGAGTAAAGAAGATTTGCCAAAACCGTCGAAAAACAATCGGACTGGCACAATGAAAAAGATTCTGAGATTGTCATCGGGTAAAACGCCGAAGCAACCACGTAAAATGCCAATGAAAGCGGCGATAAAAACGCCCGGCATGAAAAATCGCACAATAGCAAAGCTCAAGGAGAAGATGCGAAAGAATCCAACGGTTCCAAAGATTATTATCCGTGGAATTCCACGGTCGAATCAACCGAAAGTCACGGCACCCGATCTGAGTGATGTATCACGCGTTCCAAATGTCCCAGTTCATCATATGTCACCGCAATTGAATAATGAGCTATACGATCAGTCATCAGACAGTGATTCGGATAGCAATTTACACATAAATCAAACGTTTCGCAGCAACTTTGGATCGCATTCCGGTGATAGTGCAGAAGCCAACCGAGACAATACGATACGGGCGCAACCGCCAAAACAACAAATGCCCTTCATCCGTCCCGATCACACCCTTTTGCCGCCCAAACGATTTTCATTATCACCATCACCACCGCCAGTGTTTGCACCAACAGCAACCAGTCTGCAAAATGAACGCTTACCAGCAAATTTGCTATCAACCATGCAACATCCAATATTAAATGGTGCACAACACAAAGCGAAGCAGGAAAGTGCACGAAATGACAACAATTTATACTGCTACTGTCGTCGACCCTATGACGAAATGTCGGAAATGATCGCTTGCGATGCTCAAGACTGCTCAATCGAATGGTTCCACTTTGAATGTGTTGGCATCAAAGTCACTGATATAAATCCGCAAGACAAATGGTATTGTCCGCAATGTAAAGAACGGAATATGGCGCAAAACAGCTACGCTTTGCCATCAAATAATGTAAACAATACCATTTCGAATCGCTTTGCTAATGCATCCTTAGATTTGAATTGAAGAATCCATGAAAAATTCAGTTAAAATATGTAAAAAAAAAAAAAATAATAATAACCACCACACTACTGGTTCTGTGATAAAACATCGATCGTATCGTAGCAACAACATTGCTGCAGCCCAAATATGTGAGAGAAGGAGAGAAAGAGAGACGAAGAGCATTGTTTTCGTTATAAATGTGTTTTAAGTATTTCACATTGATTTAGTTTTGACACACTCACTTTTTATCGATGGAATGCGCGGAATGCAAACAAAAGCATCTATGCCGAAAAATTGGCAGCATCGAGTAAAAGTTAACGCTATCAAAACCGATTCATTTGTAATTTTGCATTAAATTAATACATTTTACGTTGAATAAGTGAATTGAGCCAAGAATCCCCCCTCCCCTTAATCGAATGAACGTTCATAAATAGGTATGAAATAAGATATTGAACAGAAAATTGAGAAGAAAAACCAAGATGACATTATGTGATTCGATCAATTAATAAGTGGCAATTTGTTAATGTTCTTTGGAAATCTAGTTTCAATAAAATTACATTCTTAATTTGCAAATGTTCAGAAATATCCTTATCACACGAATACATTCATTCACTGAAAATATTCTTCTCATCATCTCAACCAAAAAAAACCACTCAGCGAAGTACGCTGAAACTCTCATTGACTTTTGAAAATTTCGGGAGCATAAAAAGAAACTGTGGATTGAATCAAACAAAACAGCTATTTCATACAAGAGCATGCAAGCATATATTTCTAAGAATTGCAATACAATTAATTTTGTTCAATATAAACAATCTCGAACAAAGAGGGTTGATGTGCTACGAACAATTCCAAATCGTACGTCACGAGCATAATTGCAAAATTCCAACCAGATCAATTTGCTTTGAATCACTTGTTCTAATGCAAAAGAAAAATAAAAAAATAAAATACACAGAAAGATCCAGCAAAAGATACACACAAATATCAAGCGATATATTTTTTTAAACATCATTTACAAATTGGGCCTACATCTAAGATCTCCTTCAGCTTGAAATAATCACATGGTTTAAACATTTAATTTAAGCTCAATTGATCAAACATAAATCGGCAATTAGCATTCAGGGTTTAGTTCGCAACAAAAAAAAAGTAAAAAAAAACTTATTACAAAATATTATGTAAATACAACTCTATTTAAAATAAAAGTTATAATCTTAATCATTTCAAATATGTAACGAATTTCATTCAGGTGTTTTTTTATGCAGGACATTTTTGTTCGGCGAAGTGTGGAAGAAAGAACGTTAGTTTGTTCAACTTCGTAGCAAACAAACGAAACGTGTTTCAATGCTACGAATAATGGTAAAAGGAAAGTATCGTAAGTAGAATACTTGAATAATATTGCTAATGACAAAAGGAAAAATGTCGATTCTAACTGACCAAAAGAGAAGTATGCATCACGTAACTAAAATTCGAAAATATGTTCCAAAACATATACGTTTTGTCAAGCATGTGAAGCATAAACAGCATGTCCAAGCAAATATAGCAAAATGAATAGAATTTCACGATTCAAAACGCCCTGAGCAGGATTTCATAAACATAAACACAACCCGTTTCGTACAAGCCAATGTGTTTGTTCCACCGTGGAACTTCCACGCAACATTGCTTCCTTTCCAATGAATGAATCGAGTGAGATAACTGGCGCAAACCACTCACATTGGTTTGCATGCGCGCCCGATAATATGCGCACTTTATGCCCTCTTCATTCACAACCGTGAGCCATTTTGAGTGTGTAAGTATAAATACGTCCGAACGTGTTAATGTTTATGTATTTTATGGAAAAAAAAATAAGGATGTTCGTGGCATAACGGTGAAAACCAAAATATTTACTTTCTGAAATATTCAAATCTAAAAAGACATACATTTTCTTTAAATGCACAAATTCGTCTTCTGTCTGGGTAAAATATCTATGGGTGAGATTGAGAGTAGTGTATGTTTGATTGACTTTGTTACGAAAGAGAAGAGCAAGTTTCTGTCGACTTAAAAATGGTTAAAAGCGAGTATGTTCGTTTTTAGCGGGTCCTCGCGGTTTTTCACGGTTTCCGTCAAAACTGATAAGAGATAACAACTTGGTGTCTTCGGCAAAGTTGTAGCACTCAAGGTCTTCTATAACATCGCTGAAGACAGTTATCTCTTATCTCTTATCAGTTCCGCGAAAAGCGCGAAAAATGATAAGAAAAAAAAAGTTCTATATAAAATTTGCTTTTTTATGTGCGCAATTTGCGCGCAACTGATAAGAGGTAAGAGATAACTGTCTTCAGCTTAGTTATAGAAGACCTCAAGTACTACAACTTTGCCGAAGACACCATGTTGTTATCTTTTATCAGTTGCGTGAAAACCATGAAGACCGCGGAGGCTAGACGGTACTACAACATACTCTACTTTAACGCCAACAGAATCATCAGAAAACATACTCGCCTTTTCAAAAATATAAATCGAAGAAAAAACATACTCCACTCTCAATCTCACCCATAGATATGCACAAAATATGGAAAAATATTTTTTTCAAAATTTTCTGAAGTAGCTGTATTTGCTAACAAAGTTTATTTTGAATTCTTACTGTAACTCATTTTTGAAATTATAACCAAAAATAAAAGTATTTGTTACTACAAATGAATAAAAAATAGAAGAAAAAAAAAGAAATAAAAAATCAAATGCTCATTAACAAAACGAAAGGAAAAATTCCAAATTTCCCAATTGTATGAAATAAGCATGTACAATGTACATATCTGATGCATAAGTGGCAGCGATGCGTCATATTATATTCCACAAGTGTAATTTGAATGGATTCAGACAACGGTTGTAATAGTTCGAATGGCTGCCGTTACAATTGATTTGCATTGGTTTGTGTATGTAAGCGATTATTTCTATTGATAAAACTCGACACAATGAGACGGAATGACGAGTTTGGTCAGTCGAAGGGAACGAACAAATGCGAAGTAAAAGCAAAAGCAATAGAAAATTCAAAAAAAAAAATCAATCGACGAGGGTCCCCACTATAAATATAGTATACCGCCGACTAATGGCTTTCAACGACAGCGTTTGTTTTCACTGTTTCATGCATGCGACGGGGGAGAGAAACCGTGCGTCTACCCGCAATAATGGAAATGAACGAGTCACATGAAAGTAAAATTCGAATTCGATATTTCAGTTGAGCGCTATCGTTTGCATAAAATAGACGGGGTACGTACAGTGTTTGGTCAATAGTCAAACTCGAACGTGTATGACACACGTTGATCAATTGTGAACGGTAAACCATTCCGTTTGTGGATACGAATTTATTTTTTTCAATAAAAAGTGTTGTTAAACCAAATTCTTCAAATCGAATGGATAAAATTGCATGTACAGTTATTGAATGCTCAAATAAAATGTGGTCGAAATTGATACATCGTGAATTATATTTTGGCGCGCAAATTCATTAACCACGAAAACAGACCAAAACAATGCAAAGCCAGTGAGAAATATAGTATCTATTGGGAAAACCCAGCGCAAACAAATCAAATGCTTTACAAATTATTGCTAGCATGCTAATGTGGAATAATATTTGGAAGTCCAATAAAACATCAAAAGAGTTTATGAGCGATTGGGCAATGTCAGGGCTGACAGAAAAAAAATTGTTTCTGTTCGTGGCATCGTGCGTGATTCATGCAAATATAGTTGATTAATGATTCGATGCTAGTCGTTTTGTTTACGGTTTAGTTACTTCACAATTGCCCTTATTTAAGTTTTCTACATTTCCATTCGAAAATATCAATGTGATGAATTAAAAGATTGTGAGTCGAACGAAAAGTGTTGTGGGAATTGAAACTAACGATAAACTGGATCAACAAAAAAAAAAATCAACGGTTTTATGTTATTTCGTCATCAAAAGGTGAACCAAAAACTCAAATTATTACATTTGAACTTGACCGATTGTTTGGAGTGATTCAAGTGCACAATGCTTGACTTTATCAAATGTTTCAACATTAAAGTTTGCTTCGGTTCTATTCTCCTTTTTAAGTGATTGGTGTTGCGTTGCCAATTATTTATTTATGCAAACAACGCTCTATCCACATCGATTAGAATGTGTGTGTGTGTGTATGTGGTGTTGTTGTTGAAAATTTTTCTCCCCTTCATTGCTTCGGTAATTTGGATATGGATGGTATGTGAAATTATGTCGCGTGCATTTAATTGAATCGAACGTGTTGGTGCACTCTGTAAATGTGGACATCAAGATATCAAATAAAATTTGTATTTGGTTTTTTTTTGGTTCGGTACGCTACACAACCAGCCGTTTCACATTTTCCATGCACAAGAACTCGCGAAGAAATTACCGTTGAAATGTTGATATATATAATATCGCATATGTAGATGCCCCGAATTGAGAATTCGACTTTGCTCCAATGCAAAGGAAATTATTCCGATTTCATTCAGTATTGAGCTTAACCGATACTGGTTTTTCCCCGATGTAAATATTTGATGTGGTTGGTGGTGGTGATTGTCATTGATTTAAAAAGCGAATATTCCGTTAAATAAATGGCTGCTATGTACATCGCGTTCGGTTGCTGATTTGTTTACATTTTGGTAACATGAAGTCGGTCGAAATGGAAGCAAACATACAATCGGCAAATAGAAAAGCTGACCTCTGTGCATATTCAAATGTTCTCATGCACGCAAGCTTCGGTTGAAAAAACTGATTAATTTAATTCAATCGAAAAAAAAGAAACAGACACACACACACACACACACACACACTCCGTGTTCATGCCCAATTATTCCGTCAATTGACACTTGAATGTTCAAATTTCAAGACATACGGTATTCGTTTCTTTTCGATTTCTCTTCATCAGCCATTCATTTTAGTGTACTGTCATCGGTCATCGAAGTGATTCATTCCGTTTATAAATTTAGAATTTGATGGTGGATAAATAGTTTGAATAGCCATACGTGGTGGTCGAAATGTTAAACAGTTATTTTGTAATGTATACACACATTTGTGGTGCGTACCATGTTTAACGTGTACTAATGATGGATCGTGCGGCGACCAATTATTAAGTATTGAACTTGATGCAGCGCTACTGTCATGCCAACTAAATCGAATCCAATCGAAACATCGGGCAAACACAGTCATTCAATGTCACGTAAATTTGTATCAATGTCGCCAGCGCGTGGAGGTGTACCGCGCTCAAAAAGTATGAATGGATTGAGTCGCATTGATGCAAATAAAATCAATGAAAAAGGTCGCACAACAAATCACAGCACAGGCCGTACGGTACAACGGCAACGTGAAATCAGCTCGTCGGAAAATGGTAGTCCTAATTTCCACAATAACGGACTCTCAAATGGGTAAGTTCAATTGGTTTTTTTTTTCAATTTCACGTTTTGAATAACGCTATACACAAATGCATATTTCTAGTTTTTTCTATTGAAAAAGTGGATAAAACGTTATCGCATTCATCGGCTCGTCTATCATACAATGTAAATCCATTTTAAATCAATGTCTGTTCAGAACACTTGTTTACACTCTCCTCTAAAATCAATATATTGATAAAATTTGGAATATTTTTAGTTGAAACCCACTCGAAAGGGGAAAAAATCAAGGTCTAAACTAGCTGGTTGAACAATTGACCGTTAAATTTTATCAATACCAAACATAATATCGGCTATGCGAATAAGATTCGTTCTGAAAATGAGTAATCTGCATTTAATTCAAATTGAATAAAATTCTACAATAATTGAGTCAGTATGAGAGCGCAAATGAACAATTCAATTTAACAGCAGATGTTCTATCGATCGAAGAAAATGCATCGTCATCGAATGAAAATGATTTAAAACACCATTCTGTCGCTAAGACATGTTTGATATTCAAGAGTAATCAACGATTATCGATTATATCTCGATGTTATTTCAAGCATTTCCTTTATTGAACGACATTTTGTCTGAACATATCAAATATTCTGTTGTAAATTAAACAATTTGTATGTTGTATAATTCACCGAAATAATGAGCCGAAGGAAATAACTGGTTTGGATGTCTTCTTCTCTTTGTTTTAATGGTTCAACGTTTATAGTTAATGTGTGAGCATATGTGTGAGTTACCGAATATATGCATGTGCGGATGGCATTGGATGTTAATCGATTAAAACTAAACAAAATCATCACTCAGTGCGTCAATCAGGAAATTCTACGTTTGTATGTGTTAAATAGTTTGTTTGAAGCGGAAATTCAAATATACAAAATCAGTCGTTCTAATGTTGTTAATGAAAAAAAAAACCACTTTCAAATCAAAAAACTATACTATAATCACCTAAGAGCCCCAGAAATAAAAGGTTAACGCGTTAATTGAGCCTTGTTCATAAAATATATAGTGTATGTTTTGATGATCAATATTATAATATCGATTTATTTGATTGATGAGCAAAGTGTTGGTCGTAGAAATTTTTTGTTTGTCGAAGCGGTGATAAAACTACTGGATCAGTAAAGCATAATAGTATAGCTTGTTTCTATTTGAATTACCATTTTTTGTTGGCTTGAACTACAAATGCAAAATTAATTATTTATAACTGTGGTGATAATTCATTATGAACTCGATTCAATAAAGAACCAGATCGCTGAGCAGCTTTTGAGTATTTCTTCAGAAGTAATTTTATGCTGGATCGTTTTATGAATTTTAAAGTCAGATATAATGCTGTATACATTTGGCCAGTTTGCAAAAAAAAAACGAAAAGAGATTCGATACTCTGCATTAGGGTTTACAAACGTTTCGACAAATACCGCAAACGGTGTTATAAAAACGTTATTTTTCTGTAGTGTTTTTTTTGACAGTCCAAAATACCGCAGAAATAACGATAAAAAACGAAAAAAACGTTTTTTGGGCGGTATATAACGGCTCTGTAAAAAAACGTTTTTAAGAAACACTGAAAAAAATAACGCGTTTTTAAACCCTACTCTGCATTAAACCATAACTTTCTCCTCCATAGCTCGCTACACTCAACAATTCTAACGGTTGATTTACATATCAATTCCTTTTCTCGATCCTTTTTATTTAGACGCAGCAGAGATGCTGAATCTCTTGAAAATATTGCAATGCGGTCATCCGATAGTGCTCCATCGACACCTGAAGACAATATAAATGTGGTTGTTAGGTACGTACACGTGATATCTGTTTAATTTTACAGTCGAGCTCTTGACTTTCAATTTTTTTTACCCACATTCTTAAGCGTATAACAAATTGTTGTTATTGACAATTTTCAGGTTTTAGCAAATTTTATAACCAAATTCATTTTACCCCATTATAATTGACACTTTGACATTTTTTCTCACACACACATTTTTTGCTCAAGAACGTTTCAAGTTTGATTAAAAGAATATTCAATTTTTGTTCGAATTTTGGTGACAATTGTTTTCTTTTTTCCGTGTATATTTCCAGAGTGCGACCTCTTAATGAAAAAGAACGGAGAGGATTGGATTCTCAAGTTGTTTCGTTTCCGGGGAATGGCCAAATTTTGGTAGATAGCTTGCACTTTAGTTTTACTGTAAGAAATGAATTTAAAAATATTAACAACGTAAAATAGTGTGAAGGTATACCTGGTGGTCCTGGTGGTGGTCAAAAGCCGAAACTTTTCGGTTACAATGTCGTTTTTGAACCGGGTGCTACACAAACCGATGTGTTGGAATATTCGGGCATAAAACGAATTATCGAAATGGCAATCGAAGGATTTAGTTGTACATGTTTTTGTTATGGACAGACAGGTACGTGTTGTTCTGTATACATAAATAGCATAATTCCTCAGCAATTCTAGTATTCATGTTAAAATAAAATGATTCTATCCAATTTTGGATTTATAAAACACGCTATGAGTTCTATTTTTATTAATTCGAAACAGGGAGTGGGAAAACTCATACACTTACAGGCCCACCAGATTTGGTAAGCAATTTAGCATCGAATGAATAACTTTTCAATTTCATGTGTCCCAAATATCAGCCCATCACAGTATTCCGTGTTGACCAATTTATTTTCAGTTTATCGGAATGGGAAAACCAGAGCCAACTGATAATCGGCATGGTTTAGTTTTTCGTGCGTTTTTATATCTTTTTCAATTACTACAAGAACGGAAGGACACCAATTTCGTGTTGAAGGCATCATTTTTGGAGATCTACAATGAAAAAGTAAGCCAAACACCATTCGATTAACGCAAGTGGAAACGGTTAAGTGGCCACAAGCCACCAAGTTTGATACAAGTCAGACTCGATAGAATGTTGATTTTTGAACGCTTCATTTGTATGCTTAGGCCATGTCAGAATTGTACTTTACACGATTGAAGGCATGTTTAAACAATAACAACAATATCGACTATCGTTTAGGTACACACAATTCCAATATATTAATGACATACGAATTACATTAGATGAACCATTTTTTTTCGTTGGCGGTCTGATAGGGTCAGACAATATTCTGTCTTTTTTTTCCACATTGGAGACAAGGAGACCACACACACACACACACACACTATTCTGTTCCACTCACTGAATATTTCCCTAAAAAAAGATTGCATGTTTCAACGCTTGTTTATAATGTTATTAATTCTGAGCTTCGGATATATCACAATAGTGTGTGCATGTAGCCAATTTTATGTAGTTAATAGCTATAGCTATATATACTGGCTATTATTCAGCCGCAATATTATTCTGCAATAATCGAAGTACAATGAGCTGCATTGACAATTAAGTTACCTTTTATTTGTGTGAATATTTGAATATAAATTCCTAATTATTAGATATCTTCTCGAAAATAGGACATTAATATATGGTTCGTGTGTTCAAAAATTGACGATGAATTTGCATTAAATATAGACGAATTCGTTGGAATCAAATTCTTAGCTCTCTTTCGCCTTGATAGTGCAAACCCAAATCTCCACTATAAATTTTGATTAAATTGGTATCAATTGAGATCAGCACGTAATATTCATCACCAAGTTGTTAGCAAATGATTCTCTGAATACTAAATCATTGACGAATAATCGTGTATTTATTCTAAAATCTATTCGAGTTCGTATTGTTAATTGTTAACAAAACCATCGCATAATAAAACTAACAAAATGAGACCAGAAGCAATGAAATGCTTTGTTCTTTAAACTTCCTACAGAAATATGTGTCCTGAGTAAAACTATGCATGGTTTTTCGTTTTTCTAATAATAATGAAATGAATGCACTAAAAAAAAATTGAATGAATTTTCACCATTAAAATGCAATTATAGCTTTGAAGCCAACGGAAAAAATTGCTATCTGCAAAATCTAACTATAAATTTATTGAAAAAAAAAAAATATTTGAAAGATAATAATCTATTATGAAATTTGAATCGCTGTGCATTTGACATAATTATTTAGGTCATAGATCTGCTTAATCCAGGGTCAGCACGAAAGCCGCTAGCTGTGCGATGGTCAAAAAAGTCACGTGGCTTTTTCGTGGAAAACTTATTTACCGTTGACTGTGAGGAATTAGATGATCTACTGGCCGTTCTCGAAGAAGGTAAAATGTGGCGTTTCAGCCAAAGAGGAATTTTAGTTCAATTCTGAAGATAATGAGCGATGACAGTGATCATGATGCAAAAAACTGTCATAGTAAATGATGATAAAGAAATTAATTCATTGTTTACAGACATAAAACATTGGGATACTGATTTGTTATAACAATATTTTCTGTTAAATATGTAGGAATGCGAAACCGATCAGTGGGTAGCCATCGTATGAATGATTACTCATCCCGATCACATACCATCTTAACTGTTCATATAACTTCCGAACTGCAAGCTGAGGGCAGTGTGTTCATATCGAAACAAGGAAAAGTCAATTTTGTCGATTTGGCTGGCAGCGAAATGACGAAGAAGACGAATAGCGAGGGTAAAACGCTGGAGGAAGCCAATAATATCAATAAAAGTCTGATGGTGCTGGGTAAGATTATGTTTGTTAACGTGTCAGTTTGTATTTTAAAATCTAAATATACCCAACAGCACCACTCTTTCCCCGATGCAATTTTGTCTATAATTCACATTTTCAAAAGAAAACTATGCATTCGATGTAAATCCATATCGATTCAATTAAATCTTTCGTAAATCAAACCGAATTGTGTGGAATTCTTTTATGCAGACTCATTGAAAGCCGTTAATTTGTCTAAAGATAATGTCCGTATATTTTGTTTTTGTGTTCAAGTAAATTTCCAACAATTTCCCTCCTTAACAGCGCATTACGTGCAGACAATGTAGTTTTCAATAGAATGCGTTTCAATTGTGGATAAGTGTGACACTGACATTTTCTATTTCATTTCCTATTTATTGGCATTTCAAGGATATCTTTCGTTGTAAATTTACTAATTCTTCTTGCCATTCATGATGAGTTGAGCTTGATAAGTAATTTTAAATTAAAAATTTTTCCTTGCTGTACGTTCGGCGGCTTTGTGTTTTGTTTCACCATTCAATCGTTTCGTTGAATGAAAACAAGCGATTCATTATACATTTATTTGTCAGTGGTTGTGTGTGACAAGTTAACGAGCACACGCATTCGTAACTATAAGTAATCAATTTCAAATAGAAATAGTGCGATGAGGACGCTCGCGCGCACTCTCGCTAGTTTCCATTGGCGTGTTGCATATAAAGTATTTCAACAGCACCACCATTTTAAGCAATTCAAAGGTTCCAAATAAATTGCAGCACAAAAAAAAATCAATGTCAGGATCAATTATAGACTGTGTATAGAAAGTCGAATGTAAATTGAAAATGTATTTAAAAATGAGTCTAGTGAAATGGACGGATGAACCTGGTTGAATGTACGTTTGGTAGTTCAGTTTAGTCTTAACTAACAACGCGTGCTAAAACCAAATTACATCTTTTAAGAAAGCCAAAACTTACAGAGAGTGTAACTTGTTTCTGTGAAAGCCAATAAATAATTGACATTGGAATCATTCACACTTAATGTTCGTTTTGGATTAAATGCACATTCAAATATACAGCATTCAGATTTAAATTCATTTCATTAAATACGTTTATTTACTTTGTTCTGGTCGAAAGGGTATTGCATCGCATCGCTAAGTGATACAAAAAAGCGTTCCGGACACATACCATATCGTGACAGTAAATTAACTAAATTGCTAGCGGACAGTCTTGCAGGAAATGGAGTTACATTAATGGTGGGTAAATCAACAAATATTAGCGTTCAAGGTGCACGTTCAACATTCACTGCACCTCGAACTCCTTTTCGTTCACATCCAATAATTTCGGTCAAATTTCTGATGTGCGTGATTGATTGCAATTAAACGACATTTTCTCATACTTTACACTTTATTTTCCATTGTTGCGTCAATAAAAATTTGAATGTACAATATTATGGAATTGTTTTATGGTGATTGGTTGATGAGCGACCAATGTGTGTGTGTGTGTATGCTATCTATGGACACAAGGTTTAATTCACTAAATCGACTTTATATTCGGACTTTTTTCGACGTACAATGTACTTTTTGTCGTTGATTGTATTAATTTTTAGTGATTTGCTCCTTGGTATGACATTACTACATGAACTCATTTATGGAAAGCTACATTGTTCAATCATCATAAACGATGTACACTATCTAATCTCTATCGATTGTATATTCACTCTTCTGAACTTAGATCAATTTTTCTAATAAATTTCTATACCCTATTTTTAAAGGCTCTCGGAAATTAGTGCCTAGAACGTCAAAGCAATTGACATTTCAATGCTTTTAAGTCAGTAGAACGTCATTGCTGCCAATAACATTGACTTTCGAGGCAAAAGCAACATAGGCGATTTCCGAGAGCCTTTATTGTTTGAGATACTGGATCTCTTAGTGCGTGAATAAAAGATGCAGCTCTTAAATTACGTCTGTTTTATATGTTTAAATCTAAAAAAACGTACGTCCTTTTTTTATGTCTCAAAACTAGATTGCGTGTGTATCACCGGCCAGATCGAACATATCAGAAACATTAAATACTTTGCGGTACGCAGCTCGAGCCAAAAAAATTCGAACAAAACCTGTGGTGGTGATGGATCCACGAGAAGCACTAATTCTCAGTTTAAAACGCGAAGTGGCCGCCCTCAAAGCTGAAAATGAGCATCTCAAGAGTGCACTACATTTGCATTCAAACATTTTGGAGAATGCAGCCGCCGAGATAAATCATGAGCGTAAGGAGATTCCAGTTGCGCCAAAAGTTGATTTGGAACGCATGACCGAATTGGAGGTCAACGAAATCATCGAATTGGTAAAGCTTTACATTGCGGAAAATGAAGCGTTACGCACAGAAAATTCCGAACTATTCAATTCACGCGACATGATTTTACGCGATCAAGAAATTGTATGCAGGGAAAATGAGCGATTACTCAAGAAATTGGAAGATGTCAATTCGTAAGTATCGAAATCGAAATACAGTAGATGGCCAAATTGAGTTTATGTAATTAAACAAAAAAATAGGGTGTGTTGTCGTTCTCCAATTATCCCCGCTAGGCCGACATTCTCAGCGGAAATGCTGAATATGACACTTGGCAATGATTTGGGTGATTCAAATATTTGGACAAATCCGTTGGCAACGAACAATCATAGCGCAAGTTTGGACAATATTTCGCAACGCGTATGTTAAACTTAGTCAAATCAACTGTGAATTGATTCTAAAAAAAAAATTGAATTTCAGGCTGTCGACTCATTGGATGGACGTGTTTCATCGAAAGAGAGTCGGATACCGGAATCGATACAAAAAGAACTTGACAAACGACGCATTGGAGACAGGTAATTTAAAAAAGCCGAAAAACTGCCAAACAATTTATGAAGTTCGATAAAAACAGTCGATTCTCTTCTCAAAAAAAGCATACAAAATATTGCAAACACTCTACGGAGGCATAATTCATGGGACACTCAACCAAATACGGCAAATAGATTAACTCCAAAAGGATCTGCTGACAATGCTGCCAAATTAGCTACCACTCCGAAGCTTGTTGAGTAAGTTGCTATTTAGAAAATGGGTAGAAGAAAAAAAAAACCATAGTCCAATCGATCAAATTAGACTGGATTTAGATCATACTATAGAAAAACGATGAAATCATATTAACAAATTATTGAACGAGCACTGATAAGTCAAATGTGGTAGCAATAGAAAAAGCAAGCCGTACAATCAATTTCTTACATACATTCAATTGCTGTCTAAATTTTTCGATCGCTTGTAGCGGACCTTTGAAAGCAGTTGACCCAATCGCCAGTCAACCATCTGAACAACAAATGAATCGAACTGAAAATAAGAACGATGTTAAAATCGATCAAGTTGATCGTAAACCAACTGCACAAGTCCGAATTAAGGAAGATGATAAGCAGCTGGCAGATGGCATATCTGAAAATAACACACGAACAGATGCGTTACCCAATCAAGAAGTTTTTGGCAGCTTAGTTTCACTGAATGACTATATTTCCAATGCAAATCGTGATCAGTGAATGCGATGAAATAGGTTTCGTTCTTGTTATTGTTTTTATTTTCGTAAACAAAAAACGGAAACGAGAGAAAACAAAATTTACATGTATGCGCACAAAATCACGCACACACACACAAACATGATGATTTTGGGGTAAATTAAGAAGAGTTTTCGTTTTTGGGTATTTATTTTGTGAGTTTGTGACTGTGTGCTTCCCAAAATCACATGAAAAAAAAACTTCCGTAGGGCTACTCCTTTTTGTATGTAGTTTCACCACACTCTGTCAGTCGCTGTTAATAGTAACACCATGTTAGCTCATGACTCGAATCGCTGAAATTTTTAATCACAAACAAAATAGCGGTGTGATATCACTTCGTTCATGCATTCAAACAGATCTGTATATAGATATTGATGAAAATGATCGGTTTTGTTTTTTTGCTAAATTTTTTTTTCAAACTCAATCAAGCATTTAATATTAAAACGCAACTTTTATTGTTTTACAGCATGATCAGGTAGTTGGGAAAACTATGAGAAAAACTCCGCAAGATGAACTTAATAGTGAACAATTTCAGGGAATATCGCTTCTTAACATTTAGTAATACGTCGAAAATGCAGCTGAAAGGAATCAATAAATGGACTTTAATCCCATAGAGTATTTTAAATTTTCTACAATTCAAACGAAAATCGAATCATTTGTCGATTGAACTAACCATGTGGTGTTTACAACAACAATTTGCCTATGCACACTTTAACTTTTCAATAAATCACATGGATTAGGTGGATGGTCGAAGCATTTGACTGTCAACTCTATTGGTGAGACGTTATAGAACGTAGTTTGGTTCGTAGCAATAAAGGTATGTATGTTTCATGGGAAACAAAAACTAAATGTTCATGTTCTTCGAATGGAAGAATTTGCAGAAAATGCATACGCAGTCATGTTTCGAGCGAGAAGAAGACGTAATGGACTTCAATATTTGCACATTTTTGGCAACATTCTTTTTTGACAATATAGATGCGTTACAAATTACCCACTTTCCCACCTTCTTCTAGCATCAACTGAATAAATAGACGAAACATACACTCCTTCTTTTGCAAATGCTTCCATTTGAAATACATGTAGGTGTATGCACCTTCTTGTTCAGTTGCCATGAAAAATGCTTCCTTCTTGGTCAAACAAAACCGACTTTCATTTCCAAATATTTCTATTGAAGGAAAATAGACAACGTTCGTTTACGTCTCGTCCATAAGACTGATAGTTTACGGTGGAAATTTGTCTTTGTTTTTGAAGAAATGTTTGTGAATTTAAATGCATATCATTCTAATGGACAGTGGGTTCTGATGTGTTCAATACACAACAAATGAAAAGTTGAATGCTATTTTCCACTGGTATATCCATAATTTCACATTTGAATTAATTGCTATATTTTAAATTACAATAAATCAATGTTTTGCCATTTAAATTTAAAAGCCTTCAACATTTCATTGGATTAACTGGATTAAAATTCATTGCTGTAATAAGAACTGAATAAAGTTTACCGCATTTAAAATAAATATAATGAAAAATGGTTGTGTTTCAATAATAATTTAGAATGTATTCAATCCTTTTGGGACCATCTTCATGAAAATAAAAACACATGTAACTCATGGGACTGGAAATTGGTTTTCATTCAATGTTGCGTAGTATGACACTCAATGCTCTGAATAGGAAGAAAACGAAGTAAACACAAATAGTTCTTCATGTAAAATCTTTAAGTCGTTTTCAGTGGTGTGACTATGAAACCAGAGCAAATATCACAAATCGGTGAAGCGGAATCGAAAGCAATTCCAATTACAATATATTAGTTTTAATTTAATTTTCACTCGCAATTCTGCAGATTTTTGGAAGATTTGAATTAGTTAAGTTGCTAAGCTGGACTCAGGTTCCAATTTAAATTGAAACTTCTTACGTCATTCCATCAATGATCCACATTTCGATGAAATTTCGTTCTCTTCATCTGATTTACCAGGAATTCATTTTTAAAGCAATCTGGATGAAATAAGACGAATTTTTAAAATAAACGAAATGGAATATTATTCATTTTGCAATTCTTTATTGCGGCCAAAACATACGTCATTGTTGTCGTTTTCCAAAAATGTGCATTTGCATCATCATAAAAATTCGGTATTGAGTTTTAACAACAGAGAACAGAATGCTTGATACAAGTGTTACTGTGAAGCCTTATCAATTTTATTGTGAATTTGAGATTCTCATGTCCTCTCTTCTGACTTTATTGTGACTGTTGAGCTCTTTTAGTCAAGATTATTTACCAGAATCTCTTCATCATTGCAATTCTTAATTTTGTAAAATGTCGAAAATGATTTATTAGTCACGTTAGCATCCATGTACAGTGTACACTGTTCACGGTAGATAATCATGTGCGCGAGTGTTTCACCAACGTCAGAAAAGTACTGCAGAAAATCGTTAAACATTTAAATTTAAATTTCCAGAGAAATTACAGAACTTGATAAAAAATAAGAGTATAAAAGCGTGAGAGAATCGAAACAGGTTCAGTAGAAATCCAGAATTGCTTTCGATCGCTGCATAATCAAATCGAAAAAAAGGTTTTTTTTGAGACTTTTTGGAAAGACTAATTTGAAGAGAAAAAAAAGAAAAAGAAAAAGAAAAAGAAAAGAAAATGAAGTTGCATTTGGTCTTAGCAATTGTTTTGCTGGAAATTGGTACGTTTGAAGCAACGATATTTTATTGAATCAAGTTTTATTTTATTTTGCAAAGTAGTTGACAAAATATCCCTATTTCTATTGGACATTTGTTGTAGTTTCCATTTTTGGCGCCAATCCAAAAATAATTTCGCCTGTAGGAAAATCTTATCATATTCCAACTGTTAAGGTAAATTCAAAAATTTCTCCAAACATATTGAATATTTGAATTAACGCCTGAATATTAACGACTTACGACATGCTCACGCGTCGAAGCTCAATTGAAAAACATTTTTCCGTCAAAACGAAACAAAACTGTGTGGTGAATGGGAACAGAATTTCGTTTCGCTTTGTTTTGTGGCCATTGTCTGAGTTGTCTGAGTTGTGCTTTGATACGGGAGCATATTAAACGCTGTTTTTATTCTTACACGTTCATATCTAAGCTAGATTGTTGACAATCTCGAGTGGTCATTTCGAAATTCCCTTAACTATACATTCTAACTAATTACACTACGATTTTTCCAGTCTAATTGGTTCAAAGCGAATTCACATTGTTACAATATTGGCATGCGCTTGGTGAGAATTTCGTCGAGCGAAGAACATAATGCGGTCGTGAAAGTGATTAAAGCTAGTGGTAAATTGTTTTTTTTTTTCAATTGCACTGAAAATAAATAAATCAATGCATTTCTTAATCGATTTGTATGAATCTATAAACTAGGATACAAATACGATAACTTTTGGACATCAGCCACTGAATTGGGCAATATTGGCTACTATTGGTTCCATAGTGGGCAAAATCTACAGTTCAAAAAGTGGGCATCAGGTCAACCAGGTGGAAAAGATGAACACTGCATGCAACTTAGTCGCTATACGAATTTCGAATGGCACGATTACCCATGCACGGAGGTCACTCGTTTTGTGTGTGAAACAACATAACGCAACAATAACAAGTCCTAATGCAAACAACACATTGGGATACATACTTTTTGGAGAATAAAAATCGAAAAAAACAAATATTTTTACGTCTCACCAATAAAACTGACGTATTCTATTGAAAATGCAATTTGGAAATATTGGAAAAATTGTAATTTTGATCAAAATAAATAAAAATTGCATTCCATTTAAATGTCTCGTCTTAAAAATCATTGTTTCTTTCTTCGTACTTGATTTTATGGTGTGATGGCTACAGTTGAATTCAACAGTAAACATGCTCCAGTCATCTTTTGTTACTATAAATCACCTTACGACTGTTATTGTCAATTGGACTTCTGGAATTCGATTTCAATCTTCTTACCGTGATGACAATTTGTTTTGTTTTTGTTTCATTATACACGATACTCGGGAGTAATATTTTTTATTCTGTATTCCTCTGCTGGAACTGAAATGATACATTACGGCTTAATTTAAGAATTTCTTAGGAAATATTGATTCAAATATTTCCTGTTCATTTCCAAAACTTCAAAAAATCAAGATATCGAGAATCCCTTCAGCCAAATCAAAGAAAATGTGATTGTAATAAGATTGTAGTAAGTAATAAGATCATCTTATTACAGCAACTTTTCTTCAAAAGTTTCATACAAAAATCATGTCAAATTTTGCAAGACACATTTTTTTTCAACATTTTTTCGTCTGACAAAAATTGACATGTTTTTTACATGAAACTATTTTTGCGATTTTTTTTTGCACCAAAAGTAATAAGATACTTATTACAATCTTATTACAATTACAATCTTATTACTGTAATAAGATGGACTTATTACTTATTACTCATCTTATTAGTTTGTAATAAGATGAGTAATAAGTCTATCTTATTACAGTAATAAGTAGGTAATAAAGTAATAAGAATTACATTTTTTTAACTTCTATATGTTAGTGGCTATAGCGGTAAGAAATCACATTTTCTTTGATTTGGCTGAAGGGATTCTCGATATCTTGATTTTTTGAAGTTTTGGAAATGAACAGGAAATATTTGAATCAATATTTCCTAAGAAATTCTTAAATTAAGCCGTAATGTATCATTTCAGTTCCAGCAGAGGAATACAGAATAAAAAATATTACTCCCGAGTATCGTGTATAATGAAACAAAAACAAAACAAATTGTCATCACGGTAAGAAGATTGAAATCGAATTCCAGAAGTCCAATTGACAATAACAGTCGTAAGGTGATTTATAGTAACAAAAGATGACTGGAGCATGTTTACTGTTGAATTCAACTGTAGCCATCACACCATAAAATCAAGTACGAAGAAAGAAACAATGATTTTTAAGACGAGACATTTAAATGGAATGCAATTTTTATTTATTTTGATCAAAATTACAATTTTTCCAATATTTCCAAATTGCATTTTCAATAGAATACGTCAGTTTTATTGGTGAGACGTAAAAATATTTGTTTTTTTCGATTTTTATTCTCCAAAAAGTATGTATCCCAATGTGTTGTTTGCATTAGGACTTGTTATTGTTGCGTTATGTTGTTTCACACACAAAACGAGTGACCTCCGTGCATGGGTAATCGTGCCATTCGAAATTCGTATAGCGACTAAGTTGCATGCAGTGTTCATCTTTTCCACCTGGTTGACCTGATGCCCACTTTTTGAACTGTAGATTTTGCCCACTATGGAACCAATAGTAGCCAATATTGCCCAATTCAGTGGCTGATGTCCAAAAGTTATCGTATTTGTATCCTAGTTTATAGATTCATACAAATCGATTAAGAAATGCATTGATTTATTTATTTTCAGTGCAATTGAAAAAAAAAAACAATTTACCACTAGCTTTAATCACTTTCACGACCGCATTATGTTCTTCGCTCGACGAAATTCTCACCAAGCGCATGCCAATATTGTAACAATGTGAATTCGCTTTGAACCAATTAGACTGGAAAAATCGTAGTGTAATTAGTTAGAATGTATAGTTAAGGGAATTTCGAAATGACCACTCGAGATTGTCAACAATCTAGCTTAGATATGAACGTGTAAGAATAAAAACAGCGTTTAATATGCTCCCGTATCAAAGCACAACTCAGACAACTCAGACAATGGCCACAAAACAAAGCGAAACGAAATTCTGTTCCCATTCACCACACAGTTTTGTTTCGTTTTGACGGAAAAATGTTTTTCAATTGAGCTTCGACGCGTGAGCATGTCGTAAGTCGTTAATATTCAGGCGTTAATTCAAATATTCAATATGTTTGGAGAAATTTTTGAATTTACCTTAACAGTTGGAATATGATAAGATTTTCCTACAGGCGAAATTATTTTTGGATTGGCGCCAAAAATGGAAACTACAACAAATGTCCAATAGAAATAGGGATATTTTGTCAACTACTTTGCAAAATAAAATAAAACTTGATTCAATAAAATATCGTTGCTTCAAACGTACCAATTTCCAGCAAAACAATTGCTAAGACCAAATGCAACTTCATTTTCTTTTCTTTTTCTTTTTCTTTTTCTTTTTTTTCTCTTCAAATTAGTCTTTCCAAAAAGTCTCAAAAAAAACCTTTTTTTCGATTTGATTATGCAGCGATCGAAAGCAATTCTGGATTTCTACTGAACCTGTTTCGATTCTCTCACGCTTTTATACTCTTATTTTTTATCAAGTTCTGTAATTTCTCTGGAAATTTAAATTTAAATGTTTAACGATTTTCTGCAGTACTTTTCTGACGTTGGTGAAACACTCGCGCACATGATTATCTACCGTGAACAGTGTACACTGTACATGGATGCTAACGTGACTAATAAATCATTTTCGACATTTTACAAAATTAAGAATTGCAATGATGAAGAGATTCTGGTAAATAATCTTGACTAAAAGAGCTCAACAGTCACAATAAAGTCAGAAGAGAGGACATGAGAATCTCAAATTCACAATAAAATTGATAAGGCTTCACAGTAACACTTGTATCAAGCATTCTGTTCTCTGTTGTTAAAACTCAATACCGAATTTTTATGATGATGCAAATGCACATTTTTGGAAAACGACAACAATGACGTATGTTTTGGCCGCAATAAAGAATTGCAAAATGAATAATATTCCATTTCGTTTATTTTAAAAATTCGTCTTATTTCATCCAGATTGCTTTAAAAATGAATTCCTGGTAAATCAGATGAAGAGAACGAAATTTCATCGAAATGTGGATCATTGATGGAATGACGTAAGAAGTTCCAATTTAAATTGGAACCTGAGTCCAGCTTAGCAACTTAACTAATTCAAATCTTCCAAAAATCTGCAGAATTGCGAGTGAAAATTAAATTAAAACTAATATATTGTAGATGGAATTGGCAGCATTATGAGCAGATCCTTTTGGAGTTAATCTATTTGCCGTATTTGGTTGAGTGTCCCATGAATTATGCCTCCGTAGAGTGTTTGCAATATTTTGGATGCTTTTTTTGAGAAGAGAATCGACTGTTTTTACCGAACTTCATAGATTTTTTGGCAATTCTTCGGCTTTTTTAAATTACCTGTCTCCAATGCGTCGTTTGTAAAGTTCTTTTTGTATCGATTCCGGTTTCCGACTCTCTTTCGATGAAACACGTCCACCCAATGAGTCGATAGCCTGAAATTCAATTTTTTTTAGAACCAATTCACAGTTGATTTGACTAAGTTTAACATACGCGTTGCGAAGAAAAGTTCCATACAAAAATCATGTCAAATTTTGCAAGACACATTTTTTTCAACATTTTTTCGTCTGACAAAAATTGACATGTTTTTTACATGAAACTTTTTTTGGGATTTTTTTTTGCACCAAAAGTAATAAGATACTCATTACAATCTTATTACTGCAATGAGATGAGCTTATTACTTTTTACGCATCTTATTCCTTTGTAATCGACCCAATGGGAAATGGAATCAAGAATGAATGGAATGCTCCTTCACAATCCAATTGAAATTCCCATTTTTTCGAACTCAATAATCAATATGCAAAATGAGGCGCAAAATAAAACATCCAAATTCATTTCATATGTGTAAATAATGTATTTATGTTCGAATTTATTAATATATCGAATTTTCACACTAAAGAGATATCCATCATCTTATTTGAAATGTTCATAAATAATATTTAGTACACGTTTCCTCGAAATTTGTTTTTTTAGTTGAATGTGCAGACATTTAAAAAAAAGACGACCCTGGGAATGTTTATACTATATCATCGTCGGCTAAAAAAATCGTTCATTTGTTCACTGTATAAATAGTAGCTGGAAATGATGAGCTTACGTATGGAATAAAAAAAATTGCTCACTTTTCATTCATGTCGTTTGTTTATTTAAATATATTCTATCATTTGATATGAACTAAGACTGCATTCAAAATTGTATCTTTTTTCTTTCAAAAAACAATGCTCGAACTTTATTCAGCATGCCGTGAAAGTTCGAACGATTGACTTAAAATGAATGAGGAAACGAAACGCAAACCAAATATGCCGCAAGAAAAAAAAGAAGAGTTTTTTTTGTAACGAATATAAAAACAAATATATGTATACATATAATCAACGTATAAATAAACGCATCGTAACTCCTAAGCTCTGGTCAGGAGAAACGAGTGCTCGATCTTTGATGCGCATTTTTTTCTTCTATTTATTCATGATCAAAGATAGAGCAGCCAATTTCAAGAAATAAAATCAAATTTACAGTTCCTGTTCATGTTATGTTGCACATTATATCCTACGGACTTCCGAAGAGCATCTCTGATCCCGGTGGAATGGGTGCATCCGAAGCTGCACCAAAGTAGTTGACCGATTGGAAAACATTTAAATTGCTAGCAGTTGCGGTGACACTTGATTGCTCGCTAGATAGTTGATTGGTTGTGGTCGGTGAAGTGTTGCTAAAACTTTGTTCAACGTGCAACGTCAAATTGTATGGATTATTCACGTATGAACTGTAAAGATCTTCGTTTTCATTGCAGGCCGCATATGATTGCTGGTTTGAATGCTGTTGATTGTAAACTGGTGCAAAACTTTGCACAATATTCGCCGGTGGAATTCGATTTAGGCTTGGATATTGATTCGTGGCAATTAAATGACTTAGGGGTACTTTTGGTTCTTGACTCTCAAATGGCTTTTCGATATGCGCTGGCGATTGGTCGTTTGTTTTGCTCGGTGACGATGCCAACTCATCGATGCTATTTTCGGATGGTTCTTCGGTGATTGGCGGCGGCGATGGCGTCACTGGCAAATCAATAATCTTGGAAAAATTCGGATTAATACACGGACTCTTGTCACAATATGTATTAAAATTGGCATATAATTCATTTGACTCAGGAGTCGATGCAACGGGCAAATTTGATTGTATCGCAGCTGCTATTTGATCGGATGGAATCGTCTGCTCAATCAGTGTTGGTTGGCTGTGTGCTGGTGAAACGGTCACTGGAGGTTCCATCGTTGACTGCACTTCAACTGGGGCAGGCACGACGTGAGGCACAAAACTTGGTATTAATGGCTGTTGGATTTGGGACATATTTTGGTGCTCTAGTTGCTGCGGTACGATCTAGGAAAAAGAAAATTAAAAAAAGTACTTTTCATTAACTTCGATAACAATGGCTCCATTGGTAATTTTGGACAAAAATCTTTGAATATCAAAAATCATTCGGCTTAAGTATGTAGATTATCGAGATTTTGATGAAAATTAATTGATTTAAGCAATTCGGCGAGTAAGCTTTACCTGTGGTTGTGCCTGTGCTTCGACACCACTCACTAATGAAATACTCGGGTGAACGAAAGTGTTCTGCGGTGGTTCTAGAATAATACTACTGATTGGAATTGATTGCGCGGACAAAGGTTGCTGTTGCGATGTTGCTTGTTGTTGTTGTTGTTGTTGTTGATGATGTTGCAATTCTTGTTGCTGAGGCTGTTGGAACTGCTGTTGCTGTTGTAACGCACTATTCACAAGTTGATTCGGATTTATCAGTGATTGCAGCTGATTTGGGCTGGAAATCGACGGAATCGAATGTACATTTTGAACCAGCGGTGGTGAGCTTGGACTCACAACCTGTGACCTTGGCGCAGACTCCATCTGTCCACGATTCGACAACACTGAAACAACAATCGATGCGACTAATTTTTATCGAAAATTTTTTAAAATTGAAATAATAAAGACAAAAGGAAGGTTCAGCCCAAGCATGGCAGTGTTGAATAATTAATTAAAATGAAAGGAAAATTTGAAATAAAAATGAATTTAAAAAAGGAGCTTACTTGGCTCTTTATCAAACAGTTCTTCCTTTAAATTTGGCAAAAATTGATTGACACGTTTCCATGTTAGCTCCCACAGCGGCGAATGCGTCACACCATCATTGTTGTGGAATACACGAACCTGTTGACATACAAAGTATCGCATTTTTATTTGCATTTCAATGAAAGAAATTCATGTGTTCAACCCAAGAACGAAACATACAATAAAGAATAAAATTCCAGAAAAAAAAATCAATTATTCAAAATCATCATTTTCTTCTCATCTCCGATGAAATTTGCTCAAACTCACCGAATGCATAACCAACAGCATGTTTTTCAAGCTCTCCAGCATTGCCTCGTGCAGCATATCCGATCCGACTCGCATGAATTTCTCAATATAATCCAAAATATCCAACCATAATTCGCTGAAACTCGCCAGTGTTATCAATGGTGTCAAATGATGTAAGAACACTTTCGACATGATAGTTGCCGTTCGCATGCGTGATTCCTCAAGAACGTTGCCCGTAATATTAACCGTTGGCACTTCAGTCAACAAGTCATACAGAAGTGGGAATAGTACCTGAACAGAGAATAAATGTTCTTTAATACCAAATACTTGATCGTTGAATATATTAATCGTAAGGTACCTGTTTAAAGCATGATTCCCATTCGGGTCCAGTCAGTGTATGTAGATCATGAACCAGCAACGATCGTTGCAACCACGTGACTGCACTTGTTCGAACCTGCACATAAACCAAAATCAATGAGTATTACAAATAAATGACTATGTGATTTTGGTTTCTCATTCAAACCTACTTGTTTGCGTTGATCAGTGGCCAATCTTGCGATTCCCTGTAGAATTGGACACCACCCAATGCTCCATAGTCGTGAGCCCTGTGGCAATGAGCCATTTTCTTCGGCCCACCAGCGGAATATTTGAGCGGTTCTTGTATGCAGTGTGTGCATCAAATCGAGCAACTGGATGGAAATCGTTTCGTAGCGTTGCAATAGCTCACCATCCTCGTTCTCATCATCACTGTCATGTAGCAATGGATATTCAGCGCTCGGTGCGCTTGCATTGGCCACACCGCCGTTATTCGCCTGCAATTGTTCGCGTCGTTTGTGGCTGACTTTTCGGCTAGGATTCCGGTTATGATGTGGTTTTCGATTTACCGAAGCATTTGGATTCAGATTGCCACCATTTATTGATGCTTCGACAAATGTTCGAATGCATTTAACACAGCTTTCGAAATTGTACGGCGTTATATGGGCCACATTACGAACGATAAACGCCAAACTGTCCCAGCATTTAACCAATGCAAATGTTGAATGCCGCATCAATTTACATGGATAAACGAGCGAATGAATGGGTGAGTTTGGACGCGATGTAACCGTCACATCCGAATCCTTATTATTCACGATGATCCAGTTCTCTTGTGTTGGTGTTTTAGCGGCTGCAGCCGTTGTATCGGTGTGCAGACGCGTCGATATCTCTGGATCAGATATATAACCACGAGCCTGTGCTATTGCAGCCGATGCTGATTCCTCTTCGCCACTGCTCAATGCTCCCTCAGATTTTGCTCCTAGTGGATGATTAAATGGAATTGTTAGAGGAAAAAATTGAATGAATAAATTAGAATTGTCCAACAGTAATACCATACCTAGATAGGCTTGTGTCAATGTCAATGATTCTTCGTAATCAGCCGGGATTGCGCCAGCGCCAACACATTCCAATAACGTGAATATTATATCCCAATCGCTTTCGGTGTGAATATTTTGCGCACTGCATTTTACGAAAAAAGAAAACAAGAATTGAAAATTTACGACTTTTGAATAAAAACCAATTATTTTGAATGATTTGCCAAAAGAAAATCTACCTTGTTTTGAGTAGCTCATACAATCCGGTGGAAATTTGTTTAGATATTTTCAGTATGATGTTCGGATTGAGGAGTAAAAACATTTTCAAGCTTTGCAACACCACGGGACAAAGGTCTTCGTTGCGCATTAAATAAATGGCAAGTTTGAGAAGGCCAACGGTTGTTCGAAGTAGTAAATAATTGTAACCATAAGACGAGCTACCCAAAAGCAGTAGATAAATTTGATCACGACAATCTGACCACAACGGCAGCAGCCGATCTCGATTTTGTATCAAAATTTTCACTAAGAATTCCAACAAGAAAACGGTTGTGTCTTCGGCGTAAGAAATGTTTTCCGCTTTCGGAACGCTTGGTGGTTTCAACCAATTCAAAAGACACTGAATGAGTTGTTTGAGTGCGTCAACATGAAGGAATTTCGATTCGCCGATAATCTGATCAAGTTGGCATTCTCGGACACATTTTCGTACGACTTTGATGATTTCCTGTTCCTCGTACGTGGGCTGTCGTTGGCCATCTGATGCCAAATACATGTAAATACTACTGAACAGACCGACCTCTTGCTTTTGCAACGGTTTCTCCAGAATCAGTGTCACTTTGCCGCTTGGTTCGCAGAAATCTTCCACCTCCATCAGAATCTTTGGTAATAACTTCAATTTGAACAGCTGCAAAATGACTTCGATCACATTCTTCCAGCCATCGCATCGCAAACAGTCGCCATGCTTGTGAACCATTGCAAATACACCCTTCATTGCCAGTTGAGCCTTGACATTCAAACCAAACTGAACGCTGGTCGATATTTCATTCGTCGTGTTCACCGATGGATTTGCAACGTGCGCTAAACCAGCGTCCGTACTCGAAGCATTCAAATTATTCAATAACGTTGTAAATTTGCACAGCGTCAAAATGAGCGCATTGAAATCATCGTGCAGCATGAAATGTGATGAGATCGCGGCGCCTTTTGTGAATGCAACCAACGATTTATGATATGTACTTTCGACGGACGATCGATCAAACATGAAACTGAGTGCGGCCAACGTTGGACCCCACACCAATTGGAATATATCTTTGTCAAGCGATGCGCCATTCACACGCAAATAACGGCCATCTTTGGTTTTATTTCGACGCAACAACACTTTCCATAGATAATTCTCACGCACTAGTCCCGTTTGTTCGGCAGGCATAATAATTTCCTCATTTTTAATTGAATCGAATATCCCCTTCAACATATCTTGATCAAAATCACCTTTGCCATTCACACCGCGCAAATTTTTCGTAAAATCATCCGCCGACATGGGAATATTCAAACGCTTTGCGTTGGTATTGTGTTGATCCATATTCAACATGATAATGGCATAAGCAAGACTGAATGCGGCATCAGTGTTGGTGAATGGTTCGCCATTCATTTTATGCCAATGATCGGCAAAATGTTCTAACACCAAGAAAATAAGCGGCGCTTCGCCCGGTAAACGGAACGTTTCCAAGTATTGTCGCAACGCTAAATCGATGCGCATATTCTCGAAATTGAACGATTTCACGAAATTCTCCAGAATTTTACTCTCCACATTCTTCTTTTTGCTAATATATTCGCCGATCATTTTCTTGTCGAGGCTTGAGTTATCACGTAGAAAATGTGCCACTTCGGCTGGATCAAGTTCTGGCTTCAAGTATCCATTTTCTTGTAAAAATTGAATGCCTTTGTCCGGTCGTTGATTGAACAGTTCAGTGCCTTGGGTTAGAATGCGTTTTCTATCTTTGACTTCAATCAGTTGATCATGGGTGATGACATCAAATTTATTTTGAGTCTCATGCGCCGCTAATCCTTCATCAATCGTATCGATATTGGCATTGGATGGTTTCTTTTTGTTCATAAAACTGTGAATAGACTCAATCGCACCACTCTCCTCGCCGCCACTAGTTGTGACCATCACATCACTGCTGTTATTATGGTCCAGTGTAATTTTATCGGTAGTCGAATTATTCCGTGAGTGGTGACCACCAACGATGCCAACGGTTACACTGGAACTGTTCTTTACCACTTGCTTTGAGCAATTCTTTTCGATATCACCAACAATTGTCATCAAACCATCCAGCGATAAATCGTGGATGGTGTAAATTGCCTGTGTTGCTGATAGCGAATTTTTCGACAACAATTTTACCAAATCTTCCAGCAAATTCGTACAATACAGATTGCAATCGTAATTGATGTACAATTCAGCTGCAAACGATGGTATTCGAAGGAATTGTAACAAATTGTCTAGAGCTAGTTCACGGATTTCATATGGCGTTCGTGGATTTTCACTGCCGATTATTTCAGCCAATTTATTCAAATAATATTCTAAATGGAATTTCAGCCAGCTACGTTGCGATTCGAATAACAAGAAACACACTTGCAAATCGGCTGCGAAAATTGTTAGACGCTCCGTACTCAAAAGCTGAAAGAGTTGAGAAAAGAGGAGATCATTTGATGGAAATTAAATCGATTGTTTCAAAGATAAAAAGAATAGGTGGAAATGGTTTGAAGAGGCAATTCAAACCAGGAAGGAATTTGTTCCTTGAATCATTTAGAAGGAACAAAAATAAAAAAAATCGGAAAAAATGTCAAAAAGCAGGTTAATCAATGGTAGATGACCTTGACCTTCACTAGAAGATGCTCTGAAGAGGAAAACATCACATTTTATCATTTGAGGTCTCTTTTTATGATTTCATTTTCCTCAAAAAAATCTAGAAAATCTCTTAAAAGTTCAACAGAAAAGGAGTAATTTGTAAAAGGGCCCATAGAAAAAACTGTTCACAAGAAAAAAAACACCTACCGCAAAAAGATTCCGGCACAAATCATCTTTGACCATTTCGAGTAACGAATCATACTTTCCGATGCTATCGGCTCCAACTTCCAAGGCGATGGTCAATAGACTCAATCCCATGTGGATCATAACATCCGAGTTTTGTTTGTCCAATGGATTTACCAGCGATATCAAAAATCGCAACAGCTCGTGTATCAATGGCAGCCCATATGGTGTCAATGTAGCGCCAGACATTGATTCTAATCGCGTAACACACACACACGAAAGAAAAAAGAAAAAACCCAAATGATTAATTAATTAAATGTGAATTACGTGTGAAACAGACACACACACACACACATACAAAGAATATGTAATGTACGATAAACAAACGGAAGCATGCAGTTTAATGTGATAATAAATTGAACAGTACGACACACTAAAAACAAGCGTAATACAACGATAGAACGCAGAAAAGAAGACAAATAGAATATAGAAAATAAATTTGTGTATTTTGAAAGAAACGCACCATTTTCTGTTTGTGGTGTAAATCTAACTCCCATAGAATTAACAAAATCCTCACCTTTTACAATGGGATTTGCATCTAGGCTAGTACTTGCGTTTTCTTCTTTGTTCTCAATGACAATGGATGGCTGTGCACTGTTCTCATTATTGATGGTTGGTTCGTCTTCGACGTCTGCATCATTTTCGGCATTTTCATCGATTGTTCCGTCGACCGAATTGGAATTGGAGGCGCCATCATTGTTGTCACTTTTTGAATCGCTTAGCGTGCTTGGATCGCATTTATCGTCACCATCTGGATGTGGTGTTTGCATGAATTTACCTTGCATATCAACAATATTACCGACAAGCGGTGTGGATGGTGTTGTGGCTAAAATGGATTTTTGTACACTTAACAGTGCTTGGTTTGGTGTGACCGTGGCATTATCGACAGTTATCGATGCCTTTGGTGTATTTGCTTCACTAGCTTCAGTACATCGAATCGCTGGAGTAGTGAGCATATTCTTTGTTGCGTTCGATATTGGTTTACTACTATGTTGTAAGGTGTTGGTTTTGGTTAAACTTTTTGTCGATCGTCGACGTTTACCCGATGTTTCCATGCCACCGCCACTTGACATCATCTTTAGCTTTCGTATCAAACCCGTATGACGTTCCTCAGCAAATTGTGGCAAACGCATAAACAACAACAGCACAATATCTTTTAAAACCTGTTCAGCCGTTCGTCTCAGCAACTCATTGAGACGTGGCTCAAACACAATACGAATACAACTAAGCATCACTTCACAAACACTTTCATCGGTTAATGCACTGCCTTCGGGGTTGAGAATGAGCGTACGTAGCACTTGTACAACCTTCATTAAGACCACACCATCCGATGCCTGATCGGAACCAACAAAACGGGCATGCGTCACCGCATCAGCAATGCTATCGGCCGTCGTTGCAATTGTCGAGTGAGTCGGATCTGGAAAATAGAATTAGGCGTGAAAAAAAAAAATTAAATGGAATGTGTCATAGTCGATTAAGGTGAAAATAGTCACTTATCGAGGCCATTCAAGGAAATGGTTATTGAATAAAGCCAGAGGTTGGTTGCACATAAATTTATTTATATAAATTTCAAATATCAAATAAATTTATCCGATATTTTTCATGCGTTGTGTTGTTCTGACGCATTTGCAGTGCATAAACGAGACATCGGCTGTTGTATTCGCAGCCAACTATTTATCGCTGTAATGAGATTTTTGTTTTGTTTATTTTTTGTCGTTTGTAAACAAATCTGCCTATCTTTTTGCATTGTCTCTGCACATTTTGCATGGACATATACTATGTACGCAGTGGCAGAATTGTTGACAAATAACGGTAAATGAACAAAACAAAAATCTCATTCCAGCGATAAATAGTTGGCTGCAAATACAACAGCCGATGTCTCGTTTATGCACTACAAATGCGTCAGAACAACACAACGCATGAAAAATATCGGATAAATTTATTTGATATTTGAAATTTAGATAAATAAATTTATGTGCAACCAACCTCTGGAACAAACACATGCAACACTTGATCACATGGCGCGCACGCTACTGACAAAACAATTTTGCAATAAATTCATTTAACTTTTTACATTTTTTAACTGTCATTAAACGGATGACCACCAGTGTGGTCATCCTCCAAACTTGTCACAGTTGAATACATTCATTTGCAGTGTTTCGTTTGCGTCAGTGTGTGCGGCTAGTGTACAGATGTCGAACGCTCGATGCGCAACTTTTGCACTTGATCGAACAAATAGCTTACCTATAAGGCCATACGAAAGGAATTTATTCAATGCAGATAATGCGAGGCTTGTAATTTGTCCGGTGGTCTCCTCAGAACGAATCACTTCAAGAAATGGCCCAAGAAAAATCTTTGGTTCAATCAATCGCAAATCTTCGATATTGATCAGCAGATTTTTCAGCTCACTGAACTGCTTCATCAGACCATCTTGTTCTTCCTCCTGTGACAAAATTAAGCGATTCAAAGAAATTCCATCGGTTTAAAGCCGTTTCTTTATCTTTTTGATTGAACGTTTTCCAAAGTGGTTTAAGTTCTAACTCGAAACATATCCCTGGCAAATTGTCATTCAATCGTTACCTGATAATTTGAGCTGTTCCATCGAGCGCCACGTTTAATGGCTGTCATCAATGTGGAGATTTCGCCTCGTAGCACGAATATTCCGTTGCCTGGCAGAGACATGATTTTGCAATTTGTGTGCGGTAATCACCAAAAGAGATTTCAGCTCACAAATGCACGGTCGTGGTTTTCGGCTCGATTCAACTGATGATTTCCGCTATTAAATGCTACAGTCTCGTCACACACACCATTCAAAATCGATTCCAACAAGTCCTGACATGCAAAATGAAAACATTTTAATGAATCGTTCAATACGTTTATTGTATATGGTTCAATGCCAGACGGTTGCACTTGGCCACTAATTTATTACAGATTTTCGATTTAAAATCACACCAAACCATAAATAAACAATCAACGAAATTTTCTACATCAAAATTGATTCGTATGTGTCTTACGTTTTTCTTGGTATTTCAATTAGAAAAAAATCGTCGTGTACATGTTGTCTACTTTCTTAATTCGTTTCTTCACTTCTTTGCTCTTTTTTTTTGTATGTCACTTCTGTCAAATTGGGATAGGTGACGTGTGACGTTTACTGAATTGATGCAGACAACTTAAACAAAACTCAGGCATTGCGGATCTATGTGTAAATCCATATCATTCGATAATACATTGACGTTTTCGTCATAACTTACTCGTGGAATCCTGCTAATGTACTCAGTTCGCATCGATTATACCGCCAGATGGCACTGCTTTCTTTGAATTTCCGCGATGAAAAGTGCACACACACACACTTTTGAATCTATTTTCGTTATGAAAATTTAACTTTTTGTCGATTTTCTTCCTATTTTTTGCTTGTATTTTCTTTAGTAAAGGGTTTTACAAAGATAATTTCGGTAAAAATCGCACATTACTAAAAAGATTTTTTACTACTCTCATCTATAAAACTCCGAAGCATCGAGAATATTTAATTGCATTTATTTGAATTGATTGGGCGTCACCATGGAAAATTGTTTACCATCAAACAATAGTCGAAACTGCAGAGGAATTCGATTACATCGTCGGAATGCTAACGAAAAAGGAGAAAATTTTAATACAACCATTTATTGAACAAAATTATAAAAAACATCGCCGTAAGGTAAATACTCAACCGAATTTAACAGAAGAAAATAGTTCTTTTTACTCAATAATTCTATCTTTACGGCCTTGATGATATTTAATCTTATAGTTTTCAACCGAATGATAAAAATATTTCTTATTTTAAAAAATTCCTATTTTTCTTTTGAAAAAAATTTACAATCTTTAGGTGCAAAGTGCTCAGCCGGCCATTGATTTTGCGCGGCCCTCCGAACAACCGCATGTTTTGGTCAAGTTGAAAAAAATTCAAAAGGAACGCGAACGCATGCAAGAGATCGAACGGGAAAATCAACGCCTTCTACAAAAACTTTGCTCGATTATGACCACTAACCGCTTGGAGAACTACTGGAAAACTCCGCATCCAAAGTAAATTTTCATCGGAATTTTGACTTTTCTCATACTATGAGATGCATAGACTGTATGGAAAAATATGATGAAATTACAATCATGTTATCATTTAAAACTGCTAACAGGAATTGCCTTTGTTGCATTCTGTAGCACTGGTGTCGTGTTTTAATCGAGTTTTTTATTTTCCCTTCATTAATAAATAATATTAATAAATTAATTAACCTCTTCCAGGTTCTTAAATCGAGTCTACATCAAGCCACCTCAAGCCAAACAACGAGCCCAATCGGTTCCAGCTCGAAAAATATCGGTTCCCAACTCGATTGAAGGCAGTGTAGCAAAATCGCTGAAAAGTCACGGCAGTGCGCGATGCCCGACATGCAGCGGAAAACCCGTTGTATCCGCCGTGGTAAGAAGAAGTGAAAGGAAAATCGTTTTTTTCGGCAATCGTATTTTCCAACACTTTTTTTATTGACACTGTAATTCATTGAATGAATTTCCTTTCTCGTTTTGAGCAGAAAATCCCCGAAGAACGAATACCATTTGCACCGCCGCGCAAATCATGGAATTACAAATTAATCAATGACACATCAAAATTGCATCGATGTTGTAAATTTTGCTGTTGAATCCGTCGTTCGTTCGAAGCATCAATATCATCATCGTCACTTTCATCTTCATAATAATTCAAGTTCAAATTTTGTACTAGCTTCATCTGCACTGTGAACATACGTACTTGTTCTGTGTGTACTAGAACAAAAACAATTCAATGCACATAACCTCAATTATTGGTGCACAAAACACTTTTTTTGTACGCTCAATGTCATGAAATAAACATATGAAAAAATCGTAGCTGAGTTGTCGATAGTTCTTGAAACAGTTTGAAAACAAATTCCAAATGCTATGAATGCACAGCATTCGGCAGTTACACCGTTCATTTGTATCAACAGCGACAATGTCGTCGAAGAAGCAGGGAAACAGAAAAAAATCGTCTGGCAAATCGAATCCAAGTGAAGAAAATAAAACGCCGACTGTGAGTGCGATCAGTGTGAATAAATCCGGCGAAATTGTGTTGCGAATACATGCTAAACCGGGATCTAAGCAGAATGGAATCACCGATATATCCACCGATGCGATTGGCGTTCAAATCGCCGCTCCACCCATTGACGGCGAAGCCAACACCGAATTAGTCAAATACATATCGAAAGTGTTGCAGCTACGGAAGAGCGATCTCAGTTTGGATCGTGGCTCAAAATCAAGGGAAAAAGTTCTACTAGTGGCCAAAGACTCGATTACTATCGATCGAACCACACAACTCATCAAAACGGAATGCGAAAATGGATGACAATTTGTTTGTTGGAGATTTTTAAGCTTTAATTGTACAATTTTCTTTTAAAAAATTAAAGTGAATAAAATAAAACATTGGAAATTTGATGACTTTTTTGTTTGGGGAATTGTTTTTAGGTTTAACAGAATTTTTTTTAGTTCTTTTTAGCTCGAACAGATCGCGAATCACAATTGAAAAAAAAAATAGTCGGAATTTGCATTCAAATTTCAGTCTTTCTAAATTAAAATTAACCTTTTCGAAGGCCTTTTAGGCTTACTTTTCTATTGAGATTTTTTTTTTTGGTTCGATAACTTGTTCTCGAGGTTTTACTCTTGATTTCAACCCTTCAAAGGGCTTTTCAATTTTAAATGGAACATCATTTCGTTTCGAAAAACATCGAGAATGAAGACATTTGCTTCTTTAAACAAAATTTTGTTCTGAATTATCCAGATCGATTAAATGCGGAAAATAATTTCCATTAAAAAACAATCGGCATTTCAAATTGAATGAAAACGCATCGTTTATTCTGAGAAATTAGAAATTTTCCATTTTATTTTCCAAGCTTAAACGTGTTTCTTTTGAATTGTTCTTTTGATGTTGTTGTCGTTTTTCTTTTTAATTCCACGAATCCCAAATACCGGAGTTCGAAGTTGAAGCAATACGTGACCGTACTAAATCAGCGCCATTGCGTTACGTGAGGCTGCCGAGAAAAACCAAATAAATTGTATTCTAGATATATTTTCGAGGCGTTTAATAAATCTCATCATAATCGTTCAAATAGTTGTTTTTTACTGGTGTGTCTTTCGTTCTGTTTGTTTGTTTGTTGTTGCTTTGTTTTTTTTTTATTAATTTAGTTGATTTTTTTTTTAAATTTTACTCAATTACATTTTCTATGTATTTCTATATAAAGATATATATATATACTCATTTCCTTTATTGTTTTATAGATTTTCGTTTTTTCGATTTATCTTTTTCAATGTTTTAGTTTCAATTTTATGTTGCTATTGTTCTAGAGATGGTTTGGATGTACAACTGGTTGGTTTATTGGTTTGTTTGTTTGTTTATTTTATTCTCTGTTCATTGAAAATTAACTATTGTTTGCGAGATTAAGATTGATTTTTATTTATTTATTTAGTTTTGTATTCATCAACTGTTCCTACTTTTTGCGATTGGCGTGTGTGTGTGTGTGTGTGGTCAATGAGATGAGAGCACGTATGTACGCGCGCGTATTTCACTCACTATTTATTTTAAATAGCTAAAATAGAAAGAGTTTGGATGAATTCCATTGTTTTGGAGAGCTTTGAAAAGTCGCATTATTCTTGTTTCGAAAAGTCTATCTGTGTATTAAAAACGGAGGGGGAGGGGAGGAAATTGGAAATTAACATGTTAAGATAAATTGCTTTAAAAAGAGTTGATTTTTCTTTTCTTTCATATTCATATATCTTCTATTATTATTTTTTTTTTCTCTCTCTTCATTTTCGTTTCTTTTCATGTCTGGTGTATCTGTTGGTTGTTCTTCTTCTGAATGCGCGGCATACTGTTTATGTCGCTAATTATATGTGTGAGTGGCTGTTTCCCTCTTCGGTTGTTTTTCTTTTTTTTATTTTCTGTATGTATGTGTGTGTTCAACAACAGACGAATCTATTGTATATTCTTGTTATTGTTGTTGATGTCGATATCGATGAAAATTTTGAATGCCGTTTGTGTAAATGTGTAAACGTTTCCGTATTAGAACTTGAATCCTTCGTTTGGTATGTCCGACGTTTGATTGAACTGAAATGCGTTTTCGTCTGCTGTTGGCGCCAAATTTGCATCGTCCGCCTGGAAAATTGGACATTTCACATTAATACTTCAAATAATCGGTTGAATTTAATTAAAATGCATATCACAATAGCAGTAAAATGCAGAAAAAGAATAAAAACAAAAATGAACAGAAATAATTGATTCAAGGGAAGAAAATGTCAACAAAAATTTTAAAAAAAAGTTATTTGGAGCGAAGAAAAGACGAAGTTCAGGGTCGAACAAAAAAAAAATTAGCGAAAAAACTTACATCGTCGGAAAAGAATTGTTCTATTATGTCATAGGCTAATTTGTAAATATCAACGTTTTCGTGATTTTGCAATTCTTCGATTTTCGTCATTCCATCACATTCTTCGATCATATTTGCAATTTGGACTACGTGCGGGCCAGCCATTTTTAGCATGTTGTTGATACCGTCAAGAACAACCTGGTGAAAAGAATGAGCGAAAGATAAACGATTAAAATCGGACGTAATTTGAATGAAAAACCACAGTTTTTCTTGTTCTTCTTCGCTAAACTGGCATTTGACGTATGAGAATACGCTGAGTGCCAAATGCGAAGCAAAAACCAAATGGGATGCCATCGATACTTACATTAATCACTTGTGTATCTTTACATGTTAATAAATTACAGAAAGGTGGTATTGCGTTGTCTTTAATCAGTTGTGCAACTTGTTCACGATTACCGCTGATTGTTAGGTTACTAATGGCCCATGCGGCTTCTTTTTGCGTTTGGAATTCGCCGTGACTTAAGTTGTCTATGATTTTTGGCAGGAGACCGGCATCGATGACCGCTTGCACCTGCGACTGATTACCAGCCGTGATATTGGACAAAAACCAGACGGCCTCTTTTCGAATTTTCTCCTTCGGATGGCCGAGCAATGCAGGGAAATAGGATAACGCATCGCAGTTGAGTACTACTTGTGTTTGTTCATCCGAACCGGTTACTATGTTGCCAACCGCACGCAATGCGGCCGTTTGCACTTTCACCTCAACATGAGCAATCAATGGGATTAGCTTCGGTACTACACCACTTTCGATGACCATTTGAATTTGTTCGTTACCACCATCGGTTAAATAGCTCAATGCCCATACCGTATCGACCAAAATATTGACGTCCGTGTGATAGATCAAATGGTTTAGCGCTGGCAAAATGTCTTGTATGGTTTCTGTGGGTGGCGGTGGTTCCTTATTTCGGCACAAATTCACAATAACCCATGTGACATTGCGCAGAAATGAAATTGGTATATCGGGTTTGATGAACGACAATAGTGGCTGCACCACACCATGTTTGATTACATAGTCACGCAAATGTGGACCATCACCGATAATGTTACCCAGCGCCCAAACTGCTTGCTCACACACGCTCGGCGATGGTGAACTGAGTAATTCGAGAAACAATGGTACTGCACCAGCCGCAACCACTTGATTCGTTTGCATCGATGTGCCCGATGCAATGTTTGTGAGTGCCCAAGCCGCTTCAAACTGAAGAATTGTGTTTTCTTTGTGCTTCAAACATTCGACGAGAATGGGTAAAATGCCACTGGTAATCAAATCATCGATGGGCGGATTACGATCGGATGACAATAGCTTTCGGGCCGCTTGCACTGCTGCCAATTGCTTGTCTGGATCGCTTCCATCACCAGCATTCTCCACTAATTTGGCTACCGGGGAAAAAAAATTCATCAGAGAATTGAAACGAAAGCAAACACAGTTAGTTTGGCTGTTCTTTTTCATATTTGGATAAAAAAAAATGGCAAATTCGGATACAAAGGACATCAATAAACGCCCATGGAAACCCCTTGAAATCCCGAGAAAAAAAAAACATGCTGACTTCAAAAACTTACCCAAATTCACTGAATTTACTGAATCATCTTCGTCAGTCGAGTCGGGCACGTTACGACGCTTCAAAATCGTTTCTTCGCGCTTATTTTTACGTAATTCCACTGTCACTTCATTGCGCCGTCTTCGCATCTCCTATTCAACGTAGAGAGAAGAAAAAACCAGAAAAATGTGCGTCGTTAGTATGGATTTCCATGTTTCCAGTAGAAAAAAAAGCAGTCATTCATTTCCTCACAAAAGTTCAACGTTCATTTCGAATTTTGTTTTTTTTTTTGCGTCGTGAATGTGACTTCTGTTTCAAATATTGTGACGCAATAAATAATGCTCTCACACACAGCAATAGACAAATGGATATTTGAATACATTTGTTTGGTTTTGTTTTGGAGCGCGCACATGGAGCTATTCCAATGTTAAATTCGAACATTTGGGTTAGACGATTCGTTGGAAAATTGTAATTTTTTTTCTCTCACTCGAATTCAAGCGAGAATTGGAAAAAAGGGTGTGTTTTGCAGTCATCTATCTATGACGATGGGCTGAGAAGTGAAACGTGAATTTTGGCCATCATTTTGACTTCATCGCTGTTTTGCATTTATAATAATAATAATAATAATGAACGATAGCAGTGAATGCCCTTGACAGTAAGTTGGTTCGTAATCAAATTCCAAAAATAACGAAAGAAGTGAAAACTTTTGCTGTTTTGTCGATATCAAAAGACAAACAAAATCCAGATTGCTACACCGCCAACGAAAAGTGTTTTCTCACTCTTACGTGCTCACGCTCTCTTGTTCGATTCTTCAATTGCAATTAGTTTTTCTACCTGAGAGGCACTTGATTTATGTGTGTGAAATGCTATTGTGAGTGGTCGAAACAAGTTTCCGATTTTATTTCTCTCTCACTCTCGAATCAAATCCCGTCTGAAATCATGATGATACAGAGCCAACAAATACATGCGCTAAATCAACAACGAATTGTTGTGTGTCTGTTTGAATCTTCTTTTTTTTTCTTCTCTTTTTCCATTTATTCGTACTGATTTGTTCGCATTACTATTATCATTTATTATAGTTATAGTGTTTATTGTGTGTTGTCTGTGCCGCATTTTCAATCCTAATTGCTGTTGTCTTCACATTCTTCTCGCATTTTCGCTGATGACTGGATCTCGATGTTCGATGCACACGTTAGTCGCACTGTGTTTGTGTGTCGTTTTTGTTTTGTTTTTTTGCTTTTATTTCTCTCTCTCTCTCTCTCCCTCTCTCTCTCTCTCTCTCTCTCTC